CGTACGCCAAGCGAGAAGCCATTTCTGACTGAAGCTTGGACTGAAGGCGCTCGGTGTCAGACATAACAGCTTCAGTGTACTTCTCCTCTTGTTCCATATAAACATCCATGTGGCGCATCGCAACCTTGTCGTTGAGTTGGGACATCCAGCTATATGGGTCCTCCCATGACTCTCCGTGGAGAGTGAAAGTTTTCGGCTTTTTTGGGGGTTTTGGCGGTGACGGCGGAGATGGAGGCGGTTGGGGTTTCAGCGGTTTGTAGTGGGAGAGAGTTATAGGAGTATAACAGCTAGGGTGATTAATACATATGCCAGGCCGCCGGTTACGGTGGATAGCAGCGATGAGGCGCCGCATGGTGGCAGACTGGCGGAGGGCGGCAAAATAGCTTAGCTCCCTTTTATTAACGGTTGATTTGGTGACGGTAGAATATAATACGAGTAACAGGTAATAATTTCTAAAGTCTTTAAAAATTGTGAGAATGTAGAAGTAAAAACGTTTTAAAATTCCAAGGTTTTTTACTTTTTGAATAGGGGTAAATTTCTGTCAAGTTCGGTATTACTAGGCAAACATGACATTTTTCAAACTTGGAATTTTTTACACCAATCGGAGGCAGTGGTGCAGGGAAGCAGTACAGGCAGTTGGAAAGACATCCATATTTTGTTTATTGGCTAAAGGGTCAAATAGGTACATGAACTAACTTAAAGTGTTCAATTAGCCCCTTATATAGGAGGTTCTGCCCGGCCGTCGCCAATTGGGGCGGTTCCTGGTAGACTTTTTTGATGAAATTTTTTGAGCATCTTCTTCATTAAGTCTAGTTTACCCATACCAAATTTCAACTAAAAATTCAACCGGGAAGGCAGCCAAATGATTTTTTGAAGATAACTGTGCAGTTAAACAGCGCAGTGTATTTCAGAAAATCATTTGACTGTCTTCCCGATTTAATTTTTAGCTGAAATTTGATATGGGTAAACTAGACTTAATGATGAAGATGCTCAAAAAATTTCATCAAAAAATTCTACCGGGAACCGCCCTAATTGGCGGCGGCCGGGCAGAACCTCCTATATAAGGGGCTAATTGAACACTTTAAGTTAGTTCATGTACCTATTTGACTCTTTAGCCTTGTTTATTTTTTTAAGATTTTTTACTATTTTTATCAATAATTTTTGTTTAAAATATTTTTTCATTTTATATTTTTTATTTTATTTTATTATTTTTCTACAATTTTTGTTATTATTTACGAATTTATTATGATTTAAAAAATTTAAATATGACGTTTGACTACTTTTACACATATTTAAAGGAGATGTAAGAATGAAATAAAAAAAAACACGTATGTTTCTAAATAAGAGTAATATGGTCCTATTTTGGAATAAAACATAAGAAGTCTTTTTTTTATTTTTACCCTGGTTTTACTCCTGTTTGAAGTAATTTTTATAATAATAATAATGATAATATATACTCCGTACTTAGTAGATTAGTCGCAAGAGTAGGAGTATAATCTAAAAAAATTATAAATATGACTAGTTTTGCATTCCATCCTTGCTTTGTTGTAATACAACTCATATTTCATTAATAATTTTTTTTATCGTAAAATAAGCGGTTTTATATTAAAATCGAGAACAAATACAAGATAATCTCCAGACAGATTTTACAAATCCAATCGTGAACCCTAGTAGTAGACATAGAATCAGTAACCTCATACAAAACAACCTGACTCGCTAAACCTGAAATGGGCAAATTTAAGCCTAAAACGAACAGATCTGAAACCCTGCCTATCAAAAGTACTTCGAAAATCCAAACATTCAAACCAAATTTACTCGGACTAAAACTAGTACTGCTAAAGAGAAAATAATATTGAAATAAAATATTTCCACAAAACTCTTTCTGGTGTGGAGGTGGTTCTGGAGGAGGAGGAGCTCTAGCAATATGGATGAAAAAAACTCAACCACCGTTGGAGCGGTCGACCAAGGCTTCACGATCCAGCACCGATGCAAAATCCCAGCCGCAATCTTTGCATCCGCCAACGTTATCTCATCCAACATAGTTGCAATCTCAAGCGTTAGAACACTTAAAATCAGAATAATCTGCCGCTCCAGCCCCATATTGATAAGGACGACGGAAAACCTTTACAAAGAGGGGAGACGACCGCTAGGTTTTTAGAGAAAAGCCAGAGCTTTTCATCCAATTATTTGATTCATATTTCATTAGTAATTAAAATATAAAAGTAATAATTCAAAGTTATAAATGTTATATTTTCAAGAAAATTTTGGCATTTTCAAAGTTATAAATGTTATATTCATGAAATTTTCAAAGAAAAAGTAACAGTTTTTACACAAAATGGCATTTGTATTGTCGATCGGAGTTTGCATTGCTAGGAGGTGGCTAAAGCTGCAGGTAAGACATCCATATTTTTTATATTTTTTAAATGTGTTTTTATATATTTTGTATTAATTTTTCAACTTTTTATTTTTTCAAAAACTAAGTTTTTAAATTTCTAAAATTTTGGGTAGTATGATATTATTATTTTTAAAAAATATTCTTGAAATTTATTACTCCCTCCGTCCCTCAATACTTTGTCAAGTTTGACCGACACGAGAATTTATAAAGTAAAAACTATGTGGTTGAGGTTTGTGCAGAGAAGAGAAAATTAACTGGAACCACGAATTTTTTACTTGGAAAATGGCAAAGTTAGTAAGACATCCAAAAAAGGAAAGTTGACAAAGTTATAAGGACAGATGGAGTATAATGTTTTGTGATTTTTTTGAAATTATTTTTTTATTATGGGAAAAATAATTAAAATACCCCAAACTATCAAGGGGTGTGAAATAAGCACCCCAAACTTGCATATGTAATTTAAATACCCCAAACTTGATAAAAAGTTATTTTAATACCATGATCATGTATTATTTCTTTTCAAAATGTTACTTTTTGGTGTTAAAATAACTTTTTTATAAAAAGTTTGGGGTACTTAAATCACATATGAAAGTTTGGAGTGTTTATCTCACACCCCTTCAAAGTTTGAGACATTTTAATTATTTTTTCTCTTTTATGACAAATTAAAATATGATTATCCTATTAAGTTAGAAATTTTATAAAAAATGACCTGAAATATATCGTTATAGGGTCCAAATGATGGGAAACTATCAATCTAGGACCTAATTTGTCATGAATTTTATCATTTTCTTAATTTAAAATATTATCTAATTTTTTAAACAAATAAATTTATTGACGAAAAAATCATCAAAATTAGCAATGAAATTATTAAAAAATTAAATAAATCAAAATCTATGAAATTTTAGGTCCTAGATCTGATAGTTTTTCGATCATTCAGGCTATATATCAACAAATTTTATATTTTAGGTCCCGCATTGATAAATCATTTATTTTTCAAGTTCTGAATTGATAAAATTGCATTATGTTATGGTAAGGGTAGAATAAGAAGATAAAGTATACTTTAGTTTTAGTTTGGGAAGATAAATAGCATATTCCTATTGTGCATTTAGAAATTTGTTTAGTCCTACTTAGGGCTATTTCCCCTAGATTAATAATAGTAAGGTCTATACATTAACGTAAGACAATTAGGAAAATTGTCCTAAATAAGCCTTAAAACATTTGTGGTTTTGTATTCCAGGATAAGAGTTTATTTTCTAAACATGAGTAATTGTTGTCATGTTTGTACAATGCCAAATTTTAAAACACAAAAATATATATTGTAAAAAATAACATAACAATATTTTTCAAACTTGACATTAACTACTCAAATTTAGATAACAATGACACGATAGTCCTATTTTTGAATTCTCATACATTTTTACCTCTATTTAAAAAAATCATTAATTATTAATGAAATAAAATGTAAAATATTCTCTATGACTGATAACTTTGTCAAAGTTAACTCGCCGTCGAATAATAAAGTAAAAACGATGTGATTGAGACTTCTATAAAGGAGAGAGAATTAACAAGAAGCACAAATCCATTAATTAAAAGGGAAATTTATAGAATTATTAGGATAGTAAAAAAGGAATATATGAAAAGTTATAAGTGACGAAAAGAGTATTACATAGTAATAATATTTATTATTATTACACTAAATAAATATTAATCTTTAGACACAAAAATTGTTTCATATATCTTTTTATTTATTCCATTAAGATTGTTTCATAATAAATTTGATAAAATTTGTGTGATTTTAATTTATTCTTACTTTATCTTGTTTTATTTATCCCATTAATATCGTCTCATGTCTCAATGTTAGTGAGACACAGATAGTACTCTGTATTAAATAATAGATAATGTTATACTGCACATCTTTTTATTTTGACGTCATAACACATCCCAAAAGTCCTACTACTCCCTCGGTCCTGCCATCCATTTGTCAATCATGTTGAATTTTCAATGATTACATTTTATATACGAAAGTATTTATAATACGATATGAAAATGTTCTTTATTAAAAGTAACACTCTCTCCGTCCCTAAATAAAAGACAATGTTACCTTTTTGAGATGTCCCTATATAAAAGACTCATTTCCATTTTGGCAAACAAAACAGTATCGAACAGTGCCAAACAATGTCTAAACAATGTCAAACAGTATTTCTTCTTAGGTTGTGTGCCAGTCAAACTATAAACTTTTATAGACATATTTACACTTTATGAAGAGGATGCTCATAAAATTTCATTCTTTTTTATACAAATCTCAATCACGCAATTTTACTTATTTCTCATGCTCCTCAAAATTGGCAATCTTCTACAAGACAATGGAGCATTACTTTGAAACTGCTTGTATAACCTGTATTATTTCGAATAAAAAATTCCGATATGTTCTTTTTCTCATTCGTATGAAAAGTTAAAAAGGCATGCTCAAGTCCCCAATGCCATACAAATAAGCTAAACCCTATTTAAAAAAAGGCATTATCCCTGGTATTTCCATTTTTCCCTGGCATTATCTTTTTTAAAAAGGCATGCTCAAGTCCCCGAATAGCAAAACTATGATGAATTTTTACCCCCTTTTTAATATTTAACTCCTCATTATCCCTGGTATTTCCATTTTTCCTAATCTATGTAAAAACCCTATTCTAGAATCAGAGCATTACATACTTAGATTCAGCATTATCCCAAGATTCCAAACGTTGCACATATGATAAAAATAAAAAGTTCACTCATAAAAATTGCATCGTTGATTGTTGCCAGCATTCATGTTCTGAAAATTAGAGATTGCTCCACCACAAAATTCAAGTAAACACGGCAGCTAGTTGCACGCATTACATAGCAACTGATTTTACTTCTGGGCAAAACTGTGAAAGCTAGTGGTAGTAGTAATCACTCAAGTCACAATTGGTTCTGGTCCATAATTCAGCTCGACCTGCTTAGAAGTGCTGCAGAACGGGAAAATAAACATTGGTCAAACGTCCATGAAGATGTCATGTATGTATGTAGCTCTAGAAGACACACTGTTACCATATTTTGACAATAAAACAGGAATCAGTGAAGAGATAGGGAGAAACAGGTTTATAAGACTCTGGGGTGAACTAAATGATCTTACGATTCAGTCTTTTAGTGTAACCTATACTCAATCCTGAATTCTATCAGCAAAAATCTATACAACAACATTCAAACTTGTCCCAAAAAATTTGGGGTAGGCTAATATGAATCAATACATGATATCAGCTAAGCTCTATTAACAAAACAAATAGTTTATTAAACTTGACAGGTCGACATAAACCATGTTCTGGTTCGGAACCACGAACACCGCTACGTAAATGGGTCATAGGACAACACAGGAACACTATCATATTCACAAAGCACAAATAGGGGCACTAAGAGCTGCAACTGTGAAGATTCTGAAATATCCATCAGACTGCATATGCAAAAGGCGTCAATTTCTTCCTATGACCTCACTGATTTGAAAACATGTATGCAGTATTACTTTGAATCTATCTGCATACTTAAATATCATTCTTGCTAGAGATCATATTTATTATCAAAATTACATCAAGTAATTAACTGATCATTGTACTCAGCTCGCAAGTGTGCAAACTGTAATACTCCAAAAGAGCTTGGAATCGACTAATATATACAGGAGACAAACAAAATCAAATCAAACTTTCACACATACTCTCCTTCCACTTTGCTCTCTACAAAGTCACACTTTCATCTGACCGCAGAAGTATCATATCATTTTTATCACTCTAATCCATGTCTGTCTAGATAGTCCCCTCTCTCTCCTCTCTACCACCTCTCTCCACCATCTAACACATGCATCACTCAGTCTTCTACACACAGGGTCAAATCAGTAAATCACATCAATCGTGACTCGCATCCAAAGATGTCATGGCCCTTGACGACTGTCATGGCATAAGGGCAATTTGTTGTGGCGATGGCGATGGCGATGGCGATGGCGATGGCGCATTTATAGTGTCGCCATGAAACACTAAAAACAACCAGAATAAATATGACCCATAGGCAATATAGTTCTATGACTTACCATGGATAAAAAGAGTTAACTAACCATATCCAAATAACATACCTAAGCAAATCATAATAGTACCTAAAATAATCATAATCAAGCACATAATCCTTATAAAAAATACCTAACCAACTTAATAACACTTAACTGAGAGCCCCCTAATTCATGTCCGGTGGTCGCTGCCCGCTGGGTGGGGGTTCGGGGTCACACAGCCTCTCCTACAAAATTACAGTCTTTATTTGTTCTTGCACCATGTATTTCTTTGGTATGCCTCAGTCACCCACGTATTAACCATTCAGGGTTTAAAAAATTAATAACAGGGCCTAAGTTAACTAAATTGTACCAGGCCTAAATAATATGGGCTTGTTTAAAAAACATCAAATAAGACTCGAAATGGCAGGCATAAAGCAGGCGATGGGCAATGCCGCAGGAATGGTGACGCTTCACGCCAATAGCGACAAATGGCGGTCACTAGTGGCAGATCCAGAAATATCGGGAGTGCTTTAACACCCGATTGTGTCTCACCAATCAATACAATATTGTCGGCAAACATCATGCACCACAGTATATCTTCTTAAATTGACTTTGTAAGTTCATTCATGACTATAGCAAATAAGAAACGACCCAGAGTGGATCCTTGGTGCCCTCCGATATTAATAGGGAACTCTGCAATCCTCTGTACACAGGTATGTACACTTGTAGTACAATCCTCATACATATACATGATGATGCTGATATACTTACGTGATATGTATTTTCTAGTTAAGGCGACTTCTCGAGGTACCCTATCATATGCCTTTTCTAAGTAAGTATGAACATCAAATGCAGATCTTTTTAAGTGTCTCTATACTTCTCTACAAGTTGCCTAAGAAGGAGAGTGGTCTCAATTGTTGAACGACCAGACATAAACCGAATTGATTCTTCAATAGTTGGCACATTCTTGCACATCACACTTATTATGTCATACAATAATGCAGACATGATCATTTTTCGATAAAACTTATCCTTCGATCTAGTCGGCATACATCGAACACAAAGAAATCTTGATTCACACTTCCCGCTAACGAAACATATCAGAAATTGTGATCTCCTTACCATCGGCAATAACCCCACTGTTACCATTGTTCTACCCCATTAAACTTGCACTCCATAAAACTTATAAATTCACTACAAAACAAAAATCAAACATTACTATACCCACTTTTCTCTATGGCCCTCGCAGGTGGATTCTTGGCTTCATAGTCCTCTTGGAACAAAACACTCTACAACCTTGGTACTGAAATTATTATCTAACACACCATTCACATTCCTCTTACATTTTATACTCACAAATTGAATTTGTCATGGAAAAATCGACAAAATGTCCAAAAAAATATATTTTTCCTTTTAAAAACCCAGGTAAGACATGTATGTATAAAATCGTTAAAAATGTATCATTATCCATGTATATCACCACCACCTAATTAGAAAAAATTGCAAATGCAACAGAACTAAATCTACATACAAAACGCATTATTAAAAGAATAGAGGGTTGCCAATCTCATCAACTTATTAGCTCTACATACCATAACAAACCTTCCCCTTGACCTGTATGCTAACCATCTACAACTAAGGATGAGCATAAAACAAAATTTAAAATATTATAGCAAGAACCAAATCTATAGTGATATGATTTATTTGGGTTGGCAACAAATAGATGCCGAGCAAGCTCTTACCTTTGCCTAATTTTAAACATCCCGGTTCCCATCTGCATTGGTATACCCATGATGATGCATTCACTGACTCCTTCAATTTTGTCCTCTCGCCCAGTTATAGAAGCATTGAAAAGGTGGTCAGAAGTCTTCTCAAAAGAGGCTAATGTCAATACACTATCTTTCATCTTCTGAATACCAAATCTAGTATAACCTAGTATTTCACCCTGAAACATTAGAAGTTAAAAGTGAGTTGCACGAAGTCTTGTTATGTAACACTAGATCAAGAGTTCAAGACAAAGCAAGATATGAATTTTTTATATCCCTACAACCTTAAATGTCATCAGATCAGCTAGAAGCATCATGTGACGTAAGTCTATAGTCATCCCGTGGCTCTGCATAGTTCCATTAATCTCTTCAATTATACAACCTCTTGCAGCTTCAATTCCTAGAACTTGATTCACTTCCATGATGTGATTACTTCTAGTTTTTTGTCCATCAACTCCGACTGTGCCCAGAACAGTTTGAAGACCAGTCCTACAAAACATGGCTAACTATATAATAGGCTTTCGAAAGAAAAAAACTCAAGTAGTCAAGGGCCTATATGTTTTGGTAAACGAGCTATGAATATCACACACATTTACAGCTATTATACAGAGCTGATACGTGCACAAATTATTAGCTTTTAGCCTCTTCACTACAAAGTTTTTATGACACTTCATGTAAAAATTGTTAAGCACATGCAGTCATCTCCTTAATAGATCAAATTCCCATATATTTTCTTATAAAAGACCACCACATATTATTTTCTTCAAATGAGTTTATTTTAATCACAATGCTATTTGTGTACCGATAGAGTGACAATGAAGGGGCTATGGTGTGAGTCTGACAAATCCTGTTTAAACTAGGCTAAAAATGAGGTGCAATATCGGCAGAACTAGGTTCTGTAGTTTCTCTTATTAGAATACAGAAAACCGATGAGTAGTTTCAGATAGGTTCAAGTAGCTTCCTTATTTAAATATTGAAAACCTCATCATCATCATTACCCCAGTGCCGCAAAGGCTCCCACCTACGGTAGGGTAAGGGGGGGTTCGGATGTACGCAGTCTTACCCCTGTGCTAAAGCAAAGAGAGACGGTTTCTGAATGACCCATCGTGAAAATTGCGTCGAAAATTGCATGAACCGACTGCTGCTTCATAACAAAGAAGCGTAGACAGTTTAGTGAGCCATTTTGCTTTATTCCATCATATTCTCAAGCAAAAAACAGTGAGTCTTTGGCTCCATTGCAAATGATGGAAAATAAATATTGAAAACCTAAACTTTTTCAAATACAATTTCACATTCAAGAAGGGCATAGTGTAAAATAGAGACTAACACAAACAATCACGACCATATGAAGGATCTTTGCTAAAGTTACCAATGACACATAACGAGATCATGTATATCAGAAAACACAACAACTCCTCAGGATGTGAGTAGGCATTAGATGAGGGTATATAAGTCTATTAATAGTACCCTTCAGCCAGCACCTCATACTTTCCTTCCTCATTTTTGTTGATTACAGCACGTTCAACTGTGTTGATACCCTGGTTGAGGAAAATATGAAAAACTGTTGTAATCACATAATTGATCAAAACAAACAAGTTCACAGTTGGTTGATACAACATAAAATTTAATAAAAAATTAGATCATGTCATCGCATCACCTTAACAACTACTGAAGGAAGCTTATTTTTGAGACGGTGAAGTTCATAATGAAGTTCACTTTGACTAGTGTCAGGGGTGACTTGCACCTTTCTGGAATCCAAAACCTTGATATGCTGAAAGAACGAACATTCACTTTTTATACATAGGTTTTGCGTCGTCATTATAAATTTATGATATGATGAACAGAAATTTATCAAAGAATAACCTACCTGCTCCTTCAACTTAAGTTTTGAAGTCTGCATAATTGATTCTTTGACAGTATAGGCATCAATAGAAAGAAAAGAAGCTTGGATTACTTCCATATCAAGCACTATAATTATGGATGCTAATCTGGAAGACATTACTGTCTTAATGCTCTTGGATACCTACAGAGGAAAAAGAATTACCACATCAAGCAGTTCACAAGTTCGAGAGATAAATCTCATTTCTCTATAAGAACTTAAATTTTAAAAAATGATTCAGGAGCCTTAAGGCACACTAGTCCATGAGGAGACAAGGTTAGAGGCAACGTGTAGATAGTGAGAAGATACTAGAGAGCTTAACAAAAAGCCCCTAATAAACTTGGAACGAGTAGAATAGACATTAGAAAACAACAAAGTAACTTAAAGACCAAAAGAAAGACCCATGAAATTTAAAACCTACTAAAATGTTACAGTTTCAGTTTACTCCAACACAATCTTCTCTAATTGTTTGAACAAAGGCTCCAAGCCTCAAGCAGCGTTTAAAAAAATTGAAGTTCAATATATTTCTGACCTCTTTCTTTTTCAAAATTTAAAAACAGTTCCAACAGCTAGAAACAAAACTCGAACAGTTCCAACAGGCTAGGCAATCTGGTTTATGACACTTAGCTGTGACTTGTTTTTCATATTTGATGGAGGCTTATGCCTCGCCACAATGGAAAACGCTTCAAGGCTTAAAATGCTTCTTTAAAACTTGATTGAAGTCACAGCTAAGTCACAGCTCTCTGATACTTATGCAAAATACATTGTAAAAGAAACTGAGCAAAGCAAATGAGATGGCATTAATAAAAATACACCAAGTGTAAGTGATGCATTTTCAATACGACAATTTATCATTCTAGCTATGGAATACGATGACTACCTGACCTAGAAGTGTTTTCTCCACACGTCCTTTTACCATTCTTGCAACCTCTGGTTTATCATCACATGTAAGTTTGGCATTAATTATAGGAGTGCTAATCTTTTTGGAAGCATTGATAATTTCTTTTATGCGAGGAACTCCAAGTGTAACATCTGTGACAGGGGGTTAAAGAAAACATCTAAATAAAACCCAATCATGATGGCTAAAATAGCAATTCGGCTGATCAAGAACCCATGTCAAGTACAGTAGAAAAAACCAAGAACACAAAAGCATACTCATGCTAGCAACTCCAGCAAAGTGGAAAGTTTTTAGTGTCATCTGCGTCCCTGGTTCTCCAATACTCTGAGCTCCTATGGCACCAATTGAAGTTCCCTCTTCTATTTTCTTATCATGATAACGAGTGATGCAAGTGTCAAGAAAAACCTGGAACATTGAAAACATATCGAGTTACTTTAGAACGAATGGCACATTGCATCATAGCAACACGTGAAACATTACACTTATAAGAGTTGTACAATATAAGAAGGAAAGGTAACAAATACAAACAATATGTCCAAAATTAGAATCATATCACTCAAGACACAGAGGAGAGAGTATAATTAATGTCAAGGTAGCTTTACATTAAGAACTTGCTTTGAGTACTTTAACTCTTTAAGGATAAATAAAATAAGGGAAAACTGTCAAATAGGTCCTCGAACTTTCATAAAAAAGTCAATTAAGTCCTTCTATAGGACACTCTGTCCGGTCGTCGTGATTTGGGGCGGTTCCCGGTGTAATTTTTTGATGAAATTTTTTGAGCATCTTATTCATCAAGTCTAGTTTACTCATATCGAATTTCAGCTAAAAATTTAATCGGGAGTGCATTCAAATTAATTCGAGAACGCAAAAATGCGCAGTTATCTTCAAGAATTAATTTGAATGTGTTCTCGATTGAATTTTTAGCTGAAATTTGGTATGAGTAAACTAGACTTGGTGAATAAGATGCTCAAAAAAATTCATCGAAAAATTCCACCGGGAACTGCCCCAAATCACGACGGCCGGACAGAACCTCCTATAGAAGGACTTAATTGACCTTTTTATGAAAGTTCGAGGACCTATTTGACAGTTTTCCCATAAAATAAGCTTAATACTCCATTTGTCTCATTTTGCTAGAATTACAAAGCTTTTAGTTATCATTTCATCATGAGGCATCGTGCCTATGCAAGGTCCTTCCTCCGCAAAATTGCATTTTGTTTTGACTTTCTTTTCTACTTCTTCTTAAGGATAATCTCAAGGATAAACATAGAAATAAGGGTCTGTTTACTCCTTTCAAATTTTTTATTTTCTGTTTTCCATTGTCTTCTCTGTTTTTAAAATTTGAAAAACATGTTTGCCTAACATTTCAAGCATCACACATGTAATGTAGGTAATAAAATGACTAATATGTGACCGTGGGCGGAGGTGCAATTGACTGGTGGTGGATGGTGGTGGTGGAAATTGAAGAATGGAGGTGGTCCCTGGTAGCAGTTGTTGCAGTGTTATTGAGGATGATGGTGGTTAGTGGGACATTGGCGGCAGTCCTTGGCGGCTGTGTTATCACAGCGTCGCCTAAGCGCCGACTAGCCATCCCGGCGATTGACAAGAACCGCGATGCTCAGTCAACTCGCCAGAAACCTCGTAGGCGTTCTGCAGCAACGACTATAGTGACGCCAGATCAAGTATATTTCGATGACCCGTGTAATACTTGAGATTAGCTTAAAAATGATTAAAAGTACTATTCGTACCAACAAGGTGTATCTCCATTTAAGGGAGCCCATCTACTAAGAAGTCCAAGTTAAGCGTGCTCGCACGAGAGTAATCTTAATATGGCTGACCCCTGGAAAGCTTCGACGCACATAAGAGAGAAAAAATGTGCGGTAAAAGGATCGTGTTGGTTTGTGATAACGGCACTGGGTCTCGAGAGCATTGTGGAGTAACGACCTTGAACCCTGCGAGGCCAGGGTGTTACAAGTGGTTATTAGAGCAACCTTGCAATAGTGTGCTGATCTGGTGGATATCAAAAACTCAAAAAGGCACTTTGCAGGCGAGGACTCTGGAGCTAGATTGAGATTTGTTTATGAACGCAACAATGACGTTACGTTCCTAAGTGGGGGTGATTGTAATACTATAGATTAGCTTTAAAAAATATTAATAGTACTGCTTGTACCAACAAGGTGCATCTCCTTTTAAGAGTGTTCATCTTCTAAGAACTCTAAGTTAAGCGTGTTTGAACAAGAGTAGTCTTGGAATGGGTGACCTTTGAGAAGTGTTTCAGGGCGCACACAAGTGAAGACAAAATGCGTGATAAAAAGCCCGTGTTGGTTTTTAATGACAGTAGTGGGTCGGGAGTACATTCAACCCGGAAATATGCGACATTTAGTTCTTCAAGCCATCATAGGTCATGCCACCGGTATCCGACGCAGTAACCTAGCTCCATCGTTACTGCTCTCGTGAAGCCTGACTTCATTTCTTTTTATCTATCTCTTATCCCAACCTCTATTCTTTTTGTCGCTAAACATGAAGCATTCCTGTTTGTATCTTATATTTTTAGTATATGCCAATTAGTTATATCCATCTAGGCTACAAAGTACAAAGATCCATGATTAATTTCTTACTGTCTTAACATCTTGGTGAATATTATTATTACATAAATATTGTTCTGAATATCTATTGTTCTTGAAACTTATGTCTGAGATGAATGTTAAACACTTGTTTTGAGTATTAAGTAGAGAAGTAAATATATTTTGATTTATATTATTTTTATACTTGAATATACTATATAATGACGCGTCTTGTCATCTAGTTGCCGCCTAGGCAATAATGTGTGGTTGGTTGGCGCCGCAACTTGCTTAGCCACCATGACAACCATGCTTGGTGGTGGCATCATACCATGGCGATGGCGCAAATATGGCGCCACCATGTGTATGGCCGTCGCCATGATGACTTTTCATGGCAATGTAGGGTTTTCTCACCATATGGCGCCATATGGCGCATGGCAGACGCGCCATTCCTCGCCATCGACAACTATGTCAACCAGAAACCACTTTCCGTATTGCCCAGGCATCCTCTACCTTTTGGTGTTGCTTATTTCCAGATTTACTTAGTTTCAGACTTTGCTTATTTTCTTCAGGAAGGGGCAGGCAAGATCCAGACAGAGTAATTGTCATACGGATGAGGTAGGCAGCAATAGTAACGACTGCATTTTTGGAAGGACGGTAAAAACTGAGTACAGGAAACTACCACAATAAAGTTGCAAGTCTTATCATATACACACCTCTTCCGTGGATGTTAAAGATAATGAGAATAGCAATAAATTCTTTAAAAGCCTCGTTTACATTTTGACACAAACACATCAGCAGTGTTGACCAATAGGCCTTTGATAGTACCAGAAGTTACTCTTATTACTTTAAAGATTCAGAGAATAAACTATGTGATTCCAATTATCTTGATTGGAGTAAAACTATCAAATTCTATCTACAGAGTATTGAATACATTCATTTGATTGATGAACCGTCAAAAGAGGAGATAGAAAAAGCTTCTAATGACATTGGGCTCCGTAATAATTCTAGATTATTCTATGAGGCTTGTAAAGCGTTTCACAGAGCTGAAAAGAAAGATAAGCCTCTAATGGCTTATTTTAAGGATTTCAAGAAAACATATGAAAAGCTCAATACATTAACGCCGTTTGGTCCAGATATCAAAGTGCAGCATGAACAAATGGTTTGTGTGTGCAGTGTGCGTTTAAGGCTTGTAAGGTGTTTACAGAGCAGATTCTTGTTTTGAATCATCTTTAGTTGGTTTTTAGCAATATAAATTTATTTGTTGGTATATTTTGAGGCTTACACTCGCCTCCCCAGAACAAACCCCCTCAATATCTGAACAAACCACCTCAATATCTAAACAAACCGCCTCAATATCTTAATACATATATGTGCTTTATTTGCTAGCTGAGATAGGGAAATTGGGAGCAAAGCCGAGCAACACTCTCATGGTTCTCAATGTAAAACTGACTTAGCAAGGCATGCCATTTGAAGATTCCATAAGATATAGGACATTGGTTTGAAGGTTGAAAATATCGCGTAGTTATCCGTCCAAATATTGCTCACTCAATGAGTGTAGTGTGTCCATATATGGAGTTTCCAACTGTTGATCATGGGTTTGTTATAGAGCATATATTATGTAACCTAAAGGGAGCAACAGGGTATAATATTGTTTATCAAAACCAATATCACATGAGAATATAATACTCTGCAAATTTGATTGGGTCGGATTTAGAGATGGTAGAAGATCTGCATTAAGTTATTGTGTCTTTGTTGGTAGTAACTTAGTATCCTGAAAGAATAAAAAGCAAAATTTGATTTCTCATTAATTGTTCCAGTGCTGAATCAGAATATCAAGCTATGACAGAATCTCCATCTACGATAATATGAATAAATCATTTATTCAGGGAAATTGGATTGAGGACACAAATTCCTACTATTGTGGTGCAATAACCGGGCGGCTGTAGGCATGACCACTAATCCAGTATTTCACGAGAGAGCATATCATATTGAGGTAGATTGCAATTTTATTCGAGAGAAGATACATAAAGGACTAATTTCTATCGGATATGTGTAGACTAGAGAAAACTTGGAGATTTATTCACTAAAGTCTATAGCACTAAATGGAATTTGAGTTGCTTATTTATGTAATAGGTTGGGCATAACAAATATACATGCTCCACCTTGAAGGGGTATATGAATAATACGGAGTAATAGAATAGTTTAGGAATATGCTTTGGAATAGTTTAGGAACATATTCTAGGATATTATTATCTTACAATATTGTAGGAAATATTCTATCTTTCTAATGTATATTTATGGGATCTTAAACCCTCCTATTACTTTTCTGGATTACTCTCACACAAAAAGAGTGTACAAATTTTGTTCTCTGGAGATGGGTGAAGTTTTGTATCAGCTAGTGTTACTTTGAACAAATCCTTTTTGAGAAGTCTGTCACTCATTTGTGCTGTATGACTTCTGCATTAGTAATTTTCTCCAATAGACTAGCAATGTTACTTTTCCTGCACCTTAATTGTGATTATAATATTCCTTTTATAGTTTGTTATGACTACTTAAATGTCTTGTGCTTTTATTTCTCAATGAACTCCATTTTCCATACAAGTCCAAGAGCCTTACATTAAGCCTTATCAGTGAAGCTCAGCTTTCACTTTTTATATTTAATTTATGAAGCCTTGAATTTTGGGGTGCACTACTGGAGATTTTAGCAGATTCGATATCAATACTATAACCTCTGTATCATAGCATAGAATATAGTTCCTTCAATTCACATCAATATGGTCCCGTAAGTAGATATAGTATAGACCTATAGACCTTTCAATTTGTATCAATATGGTACCAATGTACCATAAGTAGATATATCCAGTATGCTAAGTACATGGTATATTGGTAAAAGAGATACCTGTAGTTGCTTTCTAGTAACACCTGATATATTCAACGTGATACTCTCCAGAGCTTCGCAACAATCCTCCCCTGCGTGATTATCCTCGTGAAGTTTTAGATCTTCCAGTGTTTTCTCTAAGCTTCTTACACATTTTTCTTCTAGAAAAGCTTCTAATGATTTACAGAAGGCCTTTGAGCACCCCCCTTCTGGTGTCATATCATATTCTGAAAGTCTTTTATGCACCACCTGTTTGACTTCTGATGATGACATACTCTTTTCCTCTCCAGGAGGACATGTTGCCTGTTAATAAAAAACGAACAAGTATTTCTCTCAACCGAGCAAATTTATATATACACACTTGACAAATGTATACATTATATGGAGACGCACATGCACACACAGACACATATACATACATATACTATGTGTGTGTAGATGTGTATAAGAAATCAGATATCATTTTAAAAAATGAAGCTTCTACCTTAACTTTCATAAGTAGTCTATTAAAGTTCAGAGGATGCCCTTTTTTCTCTTCCATCTGTGCAGGGTCCATGCCATCATCACCATACACAAACTGCACAATGCATGAACTTGCATTTCGGACAGTTCTGTCATACATAACAGAAAGGTCCTCCAGAGCTTTCATGAGCCTACGAGACATATACCCTGTGTCAGCAGTTTTAACCTGTATAATTTTTTTAAATTAGATAAATGATTGGTTTAACTGCAGTAAGCAAACAACATACAGAACTTCAAAATATCATATGGAAAGAGAGAAATTGCCAGCAATTCATATTAACAATAGTAAGTATTACAATAAACAACTAAAATGTAATTGATCACATTACCGCAGTGTCTACAAGGCCTTCTCTTCCACCCATAGTGTGGAAAAAAAAACTCTGTAGGTGTTAAACCATCATAAAACGAACTGGCAACGAATCCTTTAGCCTGAATTTAACAAGTCAGGACGCATCAAGTATCATATGCACATCGTTTAGATATAAGAACTAAATATGTAATTGATGAGACTCTGCAGTCCACCGCTTGTCTCCATATCATTTATCAGTACATTAATCTTCATATTTCACATAGTAAGGATAAGAAGCTGACTGAACAAATTTACATCAACAAATTTAGAAGGTATTTGTGTGACCATTTTAGTAAGAAAAACCCAGTTGTAGGTTAGGGATCTGTTAATCTTAAGGCCAAGCAAAAAACAAGTCAAACTTGAGCAATACAGTCTAATGAATGAAGAAAAGGATGACGCAAGACCAATACATGATACAAAATCCATTACAAGCAGATCTCTAAGCTAATCATACTGACAAGAAATCACAATACATGGATGTCAAATAAAACGCGAGAAATTTGATTTCTAAAATAAAATAGGATACGAAGCGTGGGAGAAACACGTAAACATTTAAAGTATAAGGATATATTTATTAATATTTTTTCATATATGTACATGAGTTTTTTCATTTATATATATGCACATAAATTTTTCATATGATTTTTTAATAACCCATTAATAAAAACATTCTACATGTTCAAATTTTAAAATCATCACATATTAGTACATAATTAAACATAAAACTAAAGGTTTTTGAAATGCTAATTATTAAGAGAAACGGCCCCGGAACGGGAATTTGAAATTTCTGTGTTTTCAACACACTTCTGAATTTTCAAAACGGGGAAGCATGAGCCACGGGAAAACTAAATGTGTGGAGGAATGATCTGATTTTATTTATCTCCCTTTTTCTCTATTTATTACTCCTGCCGTATTTTAAAGTTTGTTACGCTTTCCTTTTTAGGTTATATTTAAAATTTTCTATATTTTCATTTTTTGGTAAATTTTTCCTTTAAAAATACTCAATTACCCTTACTTTTCCTACTTTTTATCTTCTCTTTCATACTTTTCTACTCTCTCTCCTACTTTTTCTACACTATTCATTACCCTACTATTTCCTCCTTAAATAATGTGACAAAATTTAATGTAGCAATCCTTAAAATACGGAGGGAGTATTTTTAACTCTGATGTCATATGTGATTCATGTTAGCCGGCCTCAAACTCTTTTGGGATTAAGGTTGTGGTGTTGTTGTAATCTAGTTTCTAGCCTCAAAAAACTGAGTAAAAGATTTTGGAAAAGAATTGGAGAAAAAAAACTCTTGTTAATAGATAATGTTTCTCATATTATGTGATCATATTAACCCTGATTGCTCAAAACCTATCTACCATCTCCTTGATATGATGTTCTAGGTGAACCAATGTGTCAGTTGTAGGTTTTGAAATTCTACATTTTAGAAAAACAATGATTTAGAAATGAAAGAGAATAACTCACCGCAGGAAATTTTGATTTTATAGGAAAATGGGGAAGACTCCGATCTATGAATCCATCAGGAGCACGGCGACCGCCAACAGATTGCTGTCCAACACATGCGATCATCTGACTAATATTGATTACTGATCCTTTTGAACCACAATGTGACATAATTAAAGGACTATTCCTCCAGGGTAGTGAATTAGTGCACACCTGCACACAAATGTTAAAAAAGTCATACATGTTTCCATATAATACATAAGCGAACAGCAAGTAATAAACACAGTGTTGTGGACTTCTTTCTAGGATGTACGTATCAGCGGCGTCATAAAAATAATCAGGGCTTAAACGAGGTGTAGGAAAAATAATCAGAACTATTATGTAGCCTATATAAGGGTCTTTATTATATGAAATAAATACTACCTCTGTTCTCTTTTAGTTGCAACGTAGGACTTTTTTCACTATTCACAGATTCTACTTTGACTACATTTTATTTATTAATATATTATGAATTAAATTTTTAAAAAATATTTTTAAATTCCTCTCATAATAAATTTTCAAAATCTGATTTTATTGATTTTTTTACTAATAAGGAATGAAAGATATTAACGGTCAAACTTCTGCGTTGGCAAGCGTGAAAAGTTGACTGTTGCAATTAAAAAAGAACGGAGGAAGTATGTCTTGGGAAGAATTAAATTTTGTGTGTCTTGACAAGGTCGGACACCAGAATAATCTTCTTTTTTCTTACCAGTTTTTGGAATCTCAACCGTGGACGAGATCTTTCACAAGTGTTCTTAACACATAGTCACTACTACTCTGTAGCTTATAGAACTGTTGAGATCCGGGGAGTCCCACACCGATAAATTAAGAAGTAATAGAATGCAATATTAAGGTCTGGGCTACTCCTAACACGTTGACCTTTTACTACGGAACCTCATATCTTAATATGATATTAGAGCCAAATCAAATCGATGGTGTGGGCCCCTTATGAAAAACGACGACGCGGTTATAAAAAATGACAATGACAAACGACGAAAAAATGAATGACGGCACGATCCAAACAAAATGTCTAGTCGTGAGGAGGAATACTAAAGTCCCACACCGATAAATTAAGAAGTACTCCCTCCATCCTGTTAAGATTGTCCCAGAAACTATTCACTTGGTCAACACAAATTACTCTTAATATCTTACTTTATATATCAACTTTTTATTAAATTTGATTCTTGTTTTTGCGACTTTGTAATGTTTTAAATTTAGTTTCTGAATATGTGATTTTTTTCTCTAAAAATTATTTGAGTGCGGACAAGGATCTGTTTGCTTTATCGTCAGTCAAGCATCGTAAACCGAATTGTCCCAAACATAGTGGGACGAAGGTAGTAATAGAAAGTTATATTAAGGTCTGGACTACTCCTCCTAACAGGTTGACCTTTTAGGATAGAAACCCAGATCTTAACAAGAACCTTTGACTTTCAATGGTAGACCTTTTTACGAAAAACAATGGTAAGAGCCAAACTAACTAATCCCCTAAAACTTCATACTTTAAATTTTAAAATTGTCTGTGAAATTTTTTTTTAAAAAAAAAGGAAATTTTAAGCTCCCCACAAAGCATCTAGTTTTTTAAAAGTATTAGATATTAGTTCAATACATCTCTTCTGTATTAGTTCTATTCTTAAACATCTCAACACAAGGATGTTTTGAGCTTCTTCTGTATACCAACTTCAAGTTGCTGGCGGTGGGCATACCTCATTTGAGGCTATTCCAGCACTTGTGTAGATTACTACAGATCATTCTAATTACTCACCAGATTGTGCATGTATGAAGAGATATCTTAGAGATCTCAGAATCTCTAAATATCCCCAAAACAAGAAAAAGGGAAGGCCATGGTGTGATCACTGTAAGAAACCCGGCCATACCAAAGAAACATGCTGGAATTTGCATGATAAACCTTAAGATTTCAAATCAAGTAAAGGGAAAGGAGTCTATGTAGCTACCGGAGATAAAAAAGACATAGGCACTTCTAACTTTGTTGCATTAACCAATGAGCAGATTGAGGTTCTTCAACACCTAATAAGTCAGAGCAAAGGGCCTACACCACCAACTAGCTTTACTGACTGTCTCAGCAGTCAGGTAATGCCTTAACAACCCTAGTTGCACAGATTCAGCCCTATTCAGCCCTATTGGATTGTTGATTCAGGGGCATCAGATCATATAACTGGAGATAAGTGTTTTGCGAATTTCAAAGGACTGGCAGAGTCAAAATTTCTGATGAGATAGTGCTTAACAATGTGTAATATGTTCCATATTTAAAGTTTAACCTCTTATCGGTCAGTAAACTGAACAATGATACACATTGCCTAGCTAAATTCTCTTCTCCATTATGCGAATTTCAGGATTTGGATTCGGGGAGGATGATTGGCAGTGCTAAGCAAAGTGGTGGACTCTATCTTGTGAAACATTCACCCCATTCACCAAACTCTACCAACAAGACAACTTTCAGTGAGAGTCAATTCAACCACAAGTTCTTAGGAAGTCTTAGTAGGAGTCAATTGATTACTCAAATTCAGCTATGATCATCCGAATGTCTTGTACTTACAAAAATTATTTCCTTCATTGTTCATAAATAAAAGTTCTGCTTTTGATTATGAAAATTTTCAACTTGCTAAACATACTAAAAGTCACTATCCCAGTCTACCTTACAAATCATCCATACCATTTTCTCATCCACAGTGATGTTTGGGGCCCATTGGTTCAAGGTGGTTTGTTCTGTTTATTGATGATCATACATGCCTAACCTGGGTCTTCCTCATGAAAGAAAAATCAGAAGTCAATGTTATGTTTCAAAAATTCTATTCTATGATCAAAACCCAGTTTCAAACCAAGATTCAAGTTTTTAAAACTGATCTTCTTCTTCATCATTACCCCAGTGCCGCAAAGGCTCCCACCGACGGTGGGGTAAGGGGGGGGGGGGTCGGATGTACGCAGCCTTACCCCTATACTAGTACAAAGAGACTGTTTCCAGATGACCCATAGTGAAATTCACGTCGAAAATTGCATAGACTGACTGTTGCTTCATAACAAAGAAGCGCAGACAGTTTGGTGAGCCATTTTAAAACTTATAACGCCAAAAAATATTTATCATCCAACTTAGGAGAGTTTCTGTCCAAAAAGGGGATTATACACATTAGCTCCTGTGTTGACACCCCATAACAGAATGGGGTAGCAGAAAGGAAGAATTAGCAGCACTTAAAAAGAATGGAACTTGGGTGCTTGATTCGCCAGCAGGGAAGAGAATTGTTGGTTGCAAGTGGGTATTTAAAGTTAAATATCAGGGTGATGGAAAAATTGAAAGGCGGAAGGCAAGGCTGGTTGCTAAGGGGTTCACCCAAGCTTATGGCATTGAATATTCAAAGACATTTGCACCATTAAAGTATTGCTATCACTGCGAGTGAACCTAAACTGGCCATTACATCAACTAGATGTTAAGAATGTCTTTCTTAATGAAGACCTAGAAGAGGAAGTATTTATAGATGTACCACCAAGGTTAGAAGACTTGGTGAAATCTGGCCAGGTTTGCAGATTGAAAAAGTCCTTGTATGGACTAAAGTAGTCTCCTAGAGTGTGGTTTGATAGATTCACAAAATAAGTTATTAAACAAGGGATAAGTTATTAAACAAGGGATCGTGCAATGTCAAGCAGACCATACACTATTTGTAAAGAGGGAAAACTCTGGTAAAATGGCTATTCTTATAGTATATGTTGATGATATTATTATGACCTGGGATTATAAGGCTAGGTGAGTTGAAGTACTTCGTGGGAATGGAAGTGGCAAGATCTAAGAAAGGCATTTTCATATCACAAAGGAAATATGTCTTACACTTTCTAAGTGAAACTGGAATGCTTGGGTGCAAGCCTATGCACACTCCTAGGGATATATCAAAGAAGTTAGGCAGTGACAAAGAAAGTCCACCAGTTGATAAGGGTAGATATCAAAGGCGGGTAGGGAAGCTAATCTACCTATCTCACACATGACCAGACATTGCTTTCTCAGTAAATGTGGTAAGTCAATTCATGAATGACCCAACTCAGGAACATTTAACTGCATTTTAAAGAATTCTGAGGTACCTGAAAATGACTCCTGGAAAAGGATTGTTGTTTAAAAAACTGGGGACATGGAAGATTAAAGGGGACAAGGAAGATTCCTGGGTTGGAAGCCTTTTAGACATAAGGTCACCTACTCGTTATTGTACGTATGTATGGGGTAACTTAGTCGCATGGAGGAGCAAGAAACAATCAGTGGTTTCGAGAAGTATTGCAGAGCTCATGGCTTTAGCACAAGAAATTTGTGAAGGATTATGGTTAAGAAGATTGATGAATGAGCTCAAACTTCCATTTGAAAGCTCCATCCAGATTTCATGTGATAACCAATCTACTATCAGCATTGCTAAGAATCTTATCCATCATGACTGGACCAAACACATTGAGAAAAACGATTCTTATCCGAGAAGATTGCAGCAAAGGTTATCCAGCTCAACTATGTTCTAACCAAGGCACTTCCCGGAATTCAGTTTGAAGAATTATCTAGCAAGTTGTGCATGGATGATATCCATGACCCAGCTTGAGGGGGAGTGTAGATTATTACAGATCATTTTAATTACTCACCCGATTGTGCATTTATGAGAAGATATCTTAGAGATCTCAAAATCTCTAAATATCCCCAAGTATCTTCTCTTTATTAAGGAACCTTAATTAGGAGGATTCCTTCCTTATTTCACTTTACTCTAGCTATATATATATATATATATAAATATATATATATATATATATATATATATATATATATATTTAGGATCACATACAAACTAATCCTAATTTACAAAATGCAAACTAATCATGGTCATTGATATTAATAAGGTAACGGTGAAGATAGGAAACCAATCCCACAAATGGTGGTCCGCATGTTGTGGTTAGAGGAGAAAAACTCTCCCACTAATTAATACGGTTAAGTATTGGTCCTCAAACAAAATCTTACCCTTAATTTTGTAATATCGAACAGATGAGATGATATATATATATACACACACACTGTAATCTTCTCCTTGTAATTTTGTATTACAAAGGAACAAATAACAAAATACATTGTTCTTTCTCGAGTTCTTTCTACAACTTGTAATTCCATTAAAAAGCTAAACTCCTTCCACTTGGAACAGGGGCGGAGCTAGGGCACTGGGCCGTACTGTGCCGGTACAAAGAATATTTTTGAAAATTTTTTTCACAAAATTTTTTACACTAAAAATACAAGCATTTTTAAAATTTGGGCTGGGCCAGGGCCAGGGATGGCCCTCCCCTAGCTCCGCCCATGACTTGGAATAGAAGTTAACCATGTTAACAAGTGTGTGTGTGTGTCAGAAATGTTTTACATATTATTTTGATAAGGTTATACAATAACACACTTGAAACCAATAACTCATACTGGAAAGACCTAAATTTATTTATTTACAAATACTCTGATATGAAGCGGGAATAGCATGGGGTGGGACCGGGCTTGGGTCCACTTCCGTGGGCTAGGTTACCGTGGGCTGAGTTATTAATTTTAATTATCTTCAATTTTGATATTTACTCTACTATGCTTCTTATTATGTTTAATTAGAATTTTCCTTAGGCTATTACGTAAATCTGGTCTCCCACTAGACTTAGGCTACGTTTATTTAATTACTTTCCTACTGGAACATCTCTTTTACCACTAGGACTTAGGTTACGTAGAATTGATTTAGTTTCCTAGTGGAACATTGATGTACGTATTATTATTTATACCCACCCAGGTCTATTCAATGGGGCATCGATAATAAAATTCAGATTCATTAGCTAAAGTAGCTTGGGCAACGGATCCAGCCGTTGATTATTCTGGGCAACGGGTTACCCCGTTGATTGTTATTTTTCTGTTCTTATCAATTGGTCCGACTTGCCGGATCCCGTCCCGCCAAGATGACGAGATCTCAGAATGATCGATTGACGGAGCTAGAGAACGAACAAACTCGTATGAGAGAAGAAGTGACCCGGATAAGGGCCGAACAGGAAGAGCATGGTGGCAAGCTGTCGGAGATCATCGCCTCACTAGCGGCGTTGACCTAGGCGATGGTCCCGCCGGTCACACCGAAGAAAGCCGCGGATGACGTGGGTCGAATCCCGGCAACCGAGCTGCATGGAGAAGGCGTGCTGAGCAATCCAACTATAACGCTGCTTCCGTCGTTCGATGGGGGAGACCCAATTGGGTGGATCGCTCGGGTAGAGCAACAGTTCAAATTACACAACACTTTACCGGAAAAGAAGGTGGTTGCCGCGATGGTAGCTATGGAAGGAAGAGCGCTTTACTGGGTGACCTGGCTGAGATCGCGCAGGCCCGGGATGACTTAGGCAGATTTCAAGCAAGCCTTGGTGGACAGATTTGATTCTCGATTTCAGGGGAATAAGTATGAACGATTGTCCGGAGTCAGGCAAATTGGGTCTATAGAAGATTACAACATCTTGTTTGTTCAGCTAGCAAGCCAAGTTCTAGGGTTACCCGATGATCACTATTTGGGATATTACATGAGCGGTCTTAAGGAGATAATCCGAAGCTCGCTGCGATTGCTCCGACCAAACAACCTGGAGATGGCTATGGAATTAGCTCGCGAAGTGGAGTATAATTTGTCCGTCCAAAGTGGAGAAAGTGGCAGCCTGAATTATCATTCGTCAGCGGTACGTTCTAGCAGCCTTTTAAGGGCAAACACAGGATCCCCATTGACTGCCATTGGTGGCAGCTTACAGGATTCGGAGGGCAGCTTTGCGAAAGACAGTGGACAGCCCCTAGGGACAAGATCAGGGCAGTCAGGGCAGTCCATGACACGCTCTCAGTTCACTCGTCTTCCGCCAAAAGAGTTTGCAGAATTGCGGGCAAAGGGATTATGCTTTAGGTGTAAGAAACCCTTTACGCCAACACATGACTGCCCCTTTAAGCAGTTGCGGGTAATTATAGCTGAGGAGGATGAAGAGTTGGACCTCAAGCATCATGAATTTTGTGAAATAACCGGCCAGGAAAGGGTTCAAGAAAGAGAAGAAGGATATTTTCCGGTCTATTCTATGACTGGAAATTTCTGTTCCCGATCCGCGAGTTTTCAACCTTGAGGACAAGGTTAATTTGAAGGAGGATGGATTGATATGAAGCGGGAATAGCATGGGGCGGGACCGGGCTTGGGTCCACTTCCGTGGGCTAGGTTACCGTGGGCTGAGTTATTAATTTTAATTATCTTCAATTTTGATATTTACTCTACTATGCTTCTTATTATGTTTAATTAGAATTTTCCTTAGGCTATTACGTAAATCTGGTCTCCCACTAGACTTAGGCTACGTTTATTTAATTACTTACCACTAGGACTTAGGTTACGTAGAATTGATTTAGTTTCCTAGTGGAACATTGATGTACGTATTATTATTTATACCCACCCAGGTCTATTCAATGGGGCATCGATAATAAAATTCAGATTCATTAGCTAAAGTAGCTTGGGCAACGGATCCAGCCGTTGATTATTCTGGGCAACGGGTTACCCCGTTGATTGTTATTTTTCTGTTCTTATCATACTCAATGAATGGCTAAAGTTAGTTGTTAGTTGTTGATATATCCTCCTTCACTGGTAAAAATCAATTGCCCAATATATGGAGTCAAGTCACTAAAGATGTAAATTGTTAATGTCCTATAATACTAAAACACTATTGATCCTTATATGCAAATATGCACCGATATCATTTAATGCATCCAAGGTATTATACCCACACATACTTGTGACTATACACTTCAGGAGTTTCCTGTTTCCTATCAAATTAGATCTCAAGTCCTAGACATCAAATCATGTATATTCATGAACCTTATCAAGAATAATAATGAATTTGAAGTCCGTGCATTCTTACTTGGCCAGTTTTCTCTCGAATACTGTTCAGTTCGCGCGTAATTTCAGTTTCAAGCGTCTGTGCGGCATCACAACCAGGTAGTAGCTTTAGTTCCCCCTTGTTATATAAAGCTATATAATTTTCACATAGCCCATACCCATTCTCTATTTCCATTCTCTTCTTTGCAGCTAACTCATTTCCTGGTTGAACATCATCAATCCCAATTGAAAATCCATGATTTCCGATCCAACGAGCACTGTCATAATTCATAAAGCAACAGAAAAAGTTGTGTGCAGGTCAATAATTTTTTCAGTTAGCAGAAGATAGTTAAAAGTAGAATGAAATTTGACTGTGTTTTTGAAATAATATTACTCTTTGGCTACCCAAAACCCACCTCCATCGATAAACCCATTGGCATATTCACTCCGTCAATTCTTTTCTTGCTTGACACTCAGCTAGAGTCTCTATATCCATTGTTTAAACTCCCTTCATCCCATCACATTTGGCCATATTTACTTTTCTTGGTCAATGATAGTTAATTTTGGACAATGATAATAACTTTTATGGAAGAATTTGTAACGAAGAACATTTTCATATAATTTTCATGTTTTAAATAGTTTTGTTATAAAAGACATCATTGGTCAAAGTTGGCCATTTATTTACCATGAAAAGTCAAAACTAAGACACACGCATACATGCACATAGAGGACAGAACCTTTGTTTCTTCAAAGATTTTCTGGCGACAGTGTTGTGGCGGTGTGGCCGATTGTCATAGGTAAGTGTCCATTTCCTCCACCTCATTCTCCTCTTTCCCCTCCTCCTTCTTGGCTTCTTCCACTATCTCTAATTTTATTTTTACGATCTTTTATTTAATTTTGTTATCTATTTGTTTATTTATGATCATTTTTTTTCCAAAAAATAACATAACTATTATTGTATATTTTCCAGTTAATGCTAATGACAGGGACGTTAATTTCAAAACAATGACATTTTATGGCAATACCTTCAACAAGATAGCAATATAAGTATATAACCCCTCTAGTGTCATGTTTTTCCATCCAGAAACATCACCTTTAAAAGTTTTGGCACTAATTATATCAAGATGGCAATATTACAACTGATTTTCTTCTCCCTTTTACATTTTAATCGTTTTAAAATTAAAAGTGATGATTTGTGGTCTAAAAATATCATATTTCTTATTTGAAAATGTCATAAATATCTAGAAATAATGACAAAAGTAAGACTGTGGGCTTTTAAATGGACAAATATAAGACTAGCTTTAATTTTGGACAGAAATGAGATATAAAAATAATTGAACAGACTAAAATACCCCTATCAGAAATATCCCTCTGCCCACCCTCCCAGATCTGATCTGTTCATCGACCAAGCATTTAGTCGCCTTCAAGCATCGGTCGTCTCCTCTTCTCTCACACCTGCACCACCATCCCATCCACCCTTCTTTTTCTTCCCTTTCTGTCTGGTTGCGTTGATGGTGGTGATACCCAAGCAAAGAGGCTAGGATTTCGTTTAGGTTGTGGCGGCTAGATTCATTCTGGTGGCTAGGTTTTTGAGCTGTGATCGGTTAGGGTTGGGCGGCAGTGGGGCTGGGAGAGGGTGGCTGGCGGTGGCAGGGGGTTTGGGGGCTGGGGTATTATAGAGAGGGGGCCAGGTTTGGGTTGGAGACGGGTCGGGGAGGCTGGACGCCAGAGTGAGGGCGGCGATGGGTCACCGGCGTTGGTGGCTAGTGGGGGCGGCCAGCAGCGGTGGCTAACAGTGGTCACTATCGAATCAGGTAACTCTAACGGATCAGATCTAGTAACGGTAACTGACAGGTCGGGTTAAGTAACTGTAAATGGTTGGGACAAGTAGCTTAACTAGTTGGGTCACGTAATTGTAACTAATTGGAGTGTGCATAAAAGTCGCATAGGTCTCTTTTTTGGAAATATTTAAAAGTTAATCTCTTTTTTAGAAGCGCATAAAAGTCGCATAGGTCTCTTTTTTGGAAATATTTAAAGTTAATCTCTCTTTTTGTTCATGAGTTTTGATTTAGTATTAATGGTGTCCAAACCCCAAATTTCTACATGAAATTTCCATATTTGCTTATGCCCAGATGCGATATGGTTCATCTTTTAAGATGTCATTCCATTTGTAAGATGGCATTTCAATTGAAAATGGCATTTTATTTGGCTGTCTTTCCTAAGACAGGCACCAATCACTTTAGAGGAGGGCAGGAGGCGGTGTCGAAGGACAGTCTTCATGTCATATGCGACGCCGGCGTCGGAGAATGCAGTGACGACGGCGGATAAGGCAGCGGCAACTTTGGGCGTGACAGTCGCTTGCTTGATGCGAGATCTGGCGGTGACGCCGGATGAGGTGGTGGGCGGCAGTGCTGGAGAAGACTGCGGCGACGGCTGGGCGAGAGAAGGCCATAGTCTCTACATTACATCGTGGTCGGTGTGGTGGTGCACACCGACCACGATCTTTTAAGGGTATTTTTGTCAAACCCGTATCTTTTAACTCCTATGAAACATTGAAAGTCCTAGTTTTGCACTTTTGTAATGTTTTGATGTTTTGAAAGTCCTACTTTTGCACTTTTAACTCCTAAAGAAACATTGAAAGTCCTATTTTTGCACTTTTGCACTCCTAATTAGGTAGTTCTCTCATTAAAAAAAGCACAAATTTTGATGTAAAAAAGTTCAGTTTTTTTTCCAATAAACATATAAGTACATTTTTTGTACATTCTTTGGCTAGCCTCCTATGCGGCTTACATTCATTAGAAGATGAAAAGTGTATAATGTAAACTCTGATTTCGAAACCACTCCAACCTAATTCGGTGTAGTAAGTACTACATTTGATTTTTGTGGCTTGAGCTATAATATTACGCATGTGAAAAACGTCGATTCGCATACATGAAGTAAAATGTCTTAGATGGTGAAACAAATGTTGAAGCAAGTTCACTGGACTACAAATGATGGAATCACACTAACTTGGTATATAAATCACACAAATTTAGCATTAAAAAGCATGTCATGGCAAACTTGATATGCGAAAATAATAAGTATGCAGTGCATAGAAAACAAACCTCGGCATGATGGCATGAATCACTATACAAATGACAAAAAAAAATAATGGAGATTCGAAGTACATGCCTCAACTTGGCGAGCCTGTTCATACAAGTAGCAGCACCATGTGTGTTGTAGTCTCTCAGCAGCACAGAATAAAGACCATCCTTGTTTCCGTTTCCTATTGCCCATTACATAAATACAAGTTTAACTTTGAGTGCACCTCGCAACTTTGACTACCTTGCTCAAGAATTACAAAATATCATCGTATTTGAATGAAGGCAAATTACACCAATGCCACTCTACCAATATATTAACCATTTATTAGAAATATGAATGGTGAGTATTAAAAATCTCATCATAAGATGTGTTTATGATAAAATGAACTCTCATAAGAGCCCATTGCTCGAAAATCAGAACTTAACCTCTTTATATCTTCTATATAGACACAGTCATACATACATAAGGAGAGGTACACGATAAATACATAAATATATGAATAAAGAAGAATGGAGAAAAACTAGAAATAATCACCTAATGTGGCCTTCCCAAGTTGCCCGCTTATCAGCTCACTGTTCCGAAAGTAAACAAAGCCATCATTTGGACACATTGTTTCTTGATCCTTTTTATGGTAAGTTTTCTCCTTTAGAGTAAGGTTTAAGTACACCCTCATTTTTCTATCTGGACGCACTAGCACACTAAATAACTGTTTTCCGCTCCAAAGCTCAATTGGCTGCAAAAGCGGGTTTAGTTAGATATTGCGTTAAAGAGATAAAACTAAATGTGCCAGTTAAGTAAAACTATAAATAATGTGCTAGTCAAATCTTGGACAGATTGATATGTAAAAAGAGGTGACACATTAGACAAACCAGTCAAACTAGTACCGTAACAAGTACACTGATGATAACGTACGGTTTCAATAGGTATAACTATTGTACTTTTGTCATTGTGCTGACTTTCTCTACATGCATTTTGCTGAGTTTTTACATGATAGAGGTGGCATGTAAAAAGATACCAAACATTAGACTAAACGGTCAAATAAGTACTGTAAGAGTATGCTGAGGACAATATATGGTTTCGGTATATGCTGAAAAAACTAGGTATGCACATACACACACACACATATGATTGTACTACTTGAATTAAAAAGTGAACTAGAAATTCTTTTTAAAAACTGATGAACAGTGATTCGTTTTTTCACACAACAATTTAACAAAAGGTAAGGGTTGTGTTTGGGGCTAAGTGGCTAATGAAGTTAACAAAAGTGACCTAGCTAGGAGGATAAACAAATGACGAGATAGGAAAAGTCTTAAAGTCAATGAGAGAAGCCTTGTTCGTCGTATGTTTTATGCATTTCAGATTGCAATGGATTTATTTATTCAATGACGTTTGGTCGTGTTGCAACCGTGCTTCCTTTTTTGTGATGTTTGGTTGGCTTCTTTTGCATTTATTTAATTTTCATTCCCAATTCTAATGAATAAACCAAAGCCCTGTAATACATTCTTCATCCAAACATGTTTTTGTTTTCTATTCATATAGCCTTATTTTAAAACAATATTGGTAAAAATGGCGACAATTATGGAAATGTATTATCATGATAAAAATATCATGATAATACATTTCCGTATTTTCTTATCTATAATTGAAACATATGCACCTTGGAAATGAGAATAAAAAAGAGAGGCAGGAAAATGTAAATAAATTTGAAAACATGTTGAAACCAGAAATATGAAGTTCTTGGGATAACCTTAATTATTGCTGGAGTTGGCAAATCAATGTGATCCATCCCATCACCCATGTAAGCACAAACAAGTGAAAAAGAAGCACGGTCATAAAAAGTATCCTTCCTTGTAATGAGGAAGGAAGATGTTAGAAAATCTTGGGTAGAGGCCACCAAGATTTCACCACTCTTTGGAGTGCATAAATTTTTTTGGACCTGCATCACAGACAGCAGCAATACGTCAACATTTTTTTGGCAGATCATATGGAGAGAAGGACAGAGAGGCCATATTCGACATGTTTGACTTGGTCAAATTCACACATATGAGAACTAGCCCATCAAATTAGAGACACCTTAATAGCTTATAACCAATACTCCAAGTTTTTTATGAGGAGCAATAGATATAGTGACATATTATCTAGGAACATCTTTGTTTAGGGCCCGAAAGATATTCCAACAGTCAACTCACGACCTTCAGAAAAAAGGATATCAATTCAATCTTGAAATTAATTTCTGAATTCCAAAGAATGATTTTAAACTTTTTTTAATGTGGGATAGTAAAAACTTTCACGGAATCCAATAAAGTTTGATATGAAAAAAAAATATGTTATTTTATTTTGAACATTAATATATTCCCTCCGCCCAAAAAAAATTGGCCAAATTTGACTTGCACATGGAATAAGACAGTAAAAAAGTGTGGTTGAGAATTTGTGTGGAAGATAAAAATAATATTAAACACTAATTTCTTACATTAAAGAAAGGGAAAGTTCCCGAAATAGGACTAAAAAAGTTTGAAAATTCCAAAATAGGACATTCATGTTTTTATTCCCAAAATAGAAGTAATTACTGTCAAGTTTGGAAAATACTGCCATGTTTGAAGTCTGGTACTGCCAAAACCTGACAGTAAATAGTCCTATTTTGGGAATAAAAACATGACAGTCCTATTTTGGAATTTTCTAACTCTTTTAGTCCTATTTTTGGATAATATCTCTTAAAGAAATACTGACCTATATATGTCTAAAACAAAAGTGGTGGACAAAATATGACATGTTATACACAGTGGCTGTAATAGTAACTTTTAGTGACTGATTATATTCAATTTAAACTGTAATGACTTTGACGTTATAACCGCAGTAACATTAGTCACATTGTTGTCCATAAATTTTATTTAAGTAATATTTTACGAAAAAACCCTACTTTATAAGGAAATGGCAAATTATTTAGTGGGAAGTACAGAGTATTAAGTTTAGTATACTGTATACCCATTATTACATTTTTACAGAATGATGTGGTAGAGTTAACTAACTTCCTTCTGAGACTATATTCATGGTGTGACATTTTGAGTCTTCAAATGACAGATCGCAATTTTCAAGTCTTTTATTGATAACTTCTTTACTTTAAAAGTCTCAAAATGATTGGTCAACAACTCAACATATAATTTGGTTCCAACTCCCACAACATAAAAGCTCTATCTAAGGTTGATTGATGTCTGGAAAAAAATCTTCCTGGAAATGTGTTGAGCGGTGTATAATATTATAATGTTTGACGCAAACACAATATAAAAGACCCAGGACATTGCCTCCAAAAGTGGAAATCTTTTTTCTACATAGTTTAAACAGTCATGGAATATATCCTCCTAGAGGAAAATGTCTCTAGTGCGGAACACGTGAAAACTAAGCAAAAAACATTTTAAGAAAATGGTTTTTTAGAAACAAGCAGAACCTAAAGTATAAATCAATTTATCAATGAAAAACTCCATAAATCAATTGTATAACCTTTAAACAGTTTCATTTTTTAAAGTAATACAACAACATTACCCCAGTGCCGCAGACTCCCACCTACGGTGGGGTAAGGGGGTCGGATGTACGCAGCCTTACCCTTGTACTAAAACAAAGAGACTGTTTCCGGATGACCCATGATGAAAATTGCATGGACTGACTGCTGCTTCAAGTCAAAGAAGTGCAGACAGTTTAGTGAGTCATTTTGTTTTATTCCATCATTTTCCCAAGACAAAAAATAGTGAGTATTTATTTCATTTTTTATAGTAATATAAAATAAAATAACCAATGCTTGTGGAGAGCAAAAGCAGAGAGCAAGGTATGGAAAAAAATACAAACAGCCACGTAAAAATGTATAGAACTTCTGACAAACTAAGTAATATACCCCCATTAACATGAGTGCCTCAGTGCGGGCCTCTACCGTTTGCGGAACATGGATATTCATCTCATCACCGTCAAAATCAGCATTGTAGGGATTGCAAACAGATTCATTAAATCTCAATGTGCGCCATGGCATTATCCTTGCCTGCAGTCCAGGATACTGTTAATATAAACACAACTCGGAACCTTTAAAACATGTTTTGTGTAATCATAGTCACCCGATGGCACATAATAGACATCCGATGAAGACTTGGCTGTCTGTTGAATAGAACAGCATCTCCATCTTCCAAATGGCGGACAACTGTGTAACCATACTTCAAGTCATCAGCATGACGCTTTCTACTGTACTTTAACGAGCTACAGATGAAGAGCCACAAGCAGAAAAATCATACATACACTCCATTATATTATTACATAAGCTCCCTCTGTCCCAAATTAAAATTCCAGTTCAGTTAAAATGTTTGACTGGCCTTTAAGTTAAATCTCGACTAATTTAAATTAGTATCGACGATTAAGAGTTAACATACTTAAATATACACTTAAAGTCTATTGAACCCGTTTTACCAAAAAAAAAAAAAAAAGTCTATTGAACCCCAAACACCGATTTTTTAATATGATAAAATTTCATACACAAAATCAGAGAACAGAAGAATCAGGTAGACTACATGAATATTGAATACTACAGCAAAGGAACTTTTAAAATGGGACAAGCGAACGTAATAGCTAGCTAGGGCTGTTAACGAACCGAGCATTTATCGAACTATTCGAGCCGCGCTTAACGATCTTTCGAACTCGGACCCGAGCTGAGTTTTAAGTTCGAACAATTAATCGAGCCGAGCTCGAACATAGTAGTATTCGGGGCTCGGTTCGAGCTCAAGCCTATCGAGCACTCTGAAATTATAAATATAGTTTATAAATTTGTCAAAATTTAAATGTAATTAGTACTCCCTCCGTCCCAAAATGGTTGGCCAAATTTCCTTTTTTGGCCGTCCCAAAAAGGTTTGTCATTTCCATTTAAAGTAAGGAATATGTGGCTAAAGTTAATTCTCTCTCCTCTGCACAAATTTCAACCACACAATTTTTACTTTATTAATCCGTGTGAAAGTCAACATTGGCCAACAACCACTTTGGGACGGAGGGAGTATGATTTTATGAATTTAAATATGATTATTGTCGAACCGAATACTTGTTGAATAATTCGAGTACGAGCTTACTAACGAGCATCATATAAAATTTTAAATTCGAGCACGAGCTTACTAACGAGCATCATCTAAAATTTTAAATTCGAGCATATTTGATCTTAACGAGAGCTCGGTTCAATCATCGAACACCTATCAAGCTTAAAACGAGCCTCATTTGTAAAGCGCGCCGAGTTTTGAGCTTAAACCCGAACACCAATATTGTCAAATTGAGCTGAATCAAGCTCTGAGTGTTCGGGCTCGACTCGACTCGTTAACAGCCCTAGTAATAGCTTTATAAGAACGAGATGAAGTTGGAAATTATTTTGCTACTTACATCTCTGTACCATCAGGATACTTGATGTACATTGCCCCAGGGTATTTGTTTGGCCCATTACGAACACATTGTCGTAACTTTTCTATGTTGTGTTGTGAGACAAGCTCAGGAAATGTTAAGATTTGAGCCATGAAGATGGGAATTGCAAGCTGCAAATTGTATTGTAATAATCAATATCTTGTCGTTAAAGGAAGTGCCAAAACAAATCACAGTAGAACATAATACCTCAGTAATTTTAAGATTTGGATCAGGCGAAATAACAGTACGGCCGGTATATTCAACACGTTTGCCAGAGAGATTTCCACGAAAACGGCCATGCTTTCCTTTCAAACGTTGAACAAAGCCACTTAGTGGCTTTTGAGTTAGCATTTGTGGTGGCACTCCACGTACCTCACTGTTTATGTACTGTGCAACTTCCATTTGCAAATCAACCCAGCTAGCCTGACACAATTTTAAGCATTACACAGGGCCCAATGAGAAAACAACACTATAGCAAGAAGCATGGAAAGTTCAGTACTGTTATAAACCAAGATGGAGTATAATCCTGATAGAATTGCCATGTTCTCGCATATGTTTGAAGAGAACGAAGTATTTGTCAACAACTAATTCCTTGGTCTTAGAGAAGATATAATAAATATGCCTAATTTAAAATACAGAAAAAACAGTAACAATGTAACATATGTATGCGCCAAATACAGCCAAGGAATAATTGCAAGTGGAATATAAAAAATAATTTAATAAAAACAGAGATGATGATAATAATAGAGCATCCACAAACATGAAATAGCAAACCTACCAAGCTAAATGGCGTACACTTAGTCACTTACATTACTGATCACTATATTTTGCAGAATACTTAAGGTATGTTTACTAATAGAGATATTTTTCAGATTTTTACAAAATCTGTTTGGTCCAAACCGATATTTTGATGTATATAAACCAATTTCGAACCATTTTTTTGGGTCCCAATTTTGGGGTCCCAAAATTTATCGGTCCAGCCCGGTTTGGGGTTCTTTTAATGCGGTTCGGTTTTCAGTTTTTCGGTTCGAAATACCAGTCCTTGTATTTTATGCCAGCTATCATAAGAAATGTGTCGGGAATGGCAGTTTATAACGACAATATATTACAGATATTTTTCCATTCACCATCAATAACCATGAATAAGAGAGAATCTCATCAAATTAATGTCATACCAGACTTTTGCTAGGATGGCTTGCATCAGATATTTCTTGTTGAAGACTTGCATTTGCTTGGACAATGCGTCTCAGCCTCTCTGTGATGTCATTCTCATTACTGCAACATAGACACAGGATATCATTGAGTTATCTTATTTTCACGGAATGAAATTAATATTAGCATTCTTGTATAGTAGTTCATGTGGACGTAATAGTATGTTCATCATCATGATTCATGAGCAACAACATTATCCCAACTAGATCAGGTCAGTGACAGGAAATTTGAAGTGTCCATTAATTGTGTTAACACAATAAACTCGTGCAAAAAACAATGGCATATTTTTCCACCAGGTACACTTCAACCTTCTTAAAATGGAATAATGAGATGAAATCCAAAATCTGCATCATCGTAAATTATTTCCGCTTATATGAATATAATGAGACGGAAATTAGGCAAAATAGTTAATAAAGTATTATTCAATCATCATCATCATTACCCCAGTGCCACAAAGGCTACGGGTAAGGGGGGCTCGGATGTACGCAGTCTTACCCCTGTATTAAAGCAGGGAGAGACTGTTTCCGAATGACCCATAGTAAAGTATTATTCAATACAAAACAAAAAACAAGATTCGTGAATGCTGCAAGTACATCTTTCACCATTTTAAGAATCTGATAATTTAGTTTATGGAATGGGAAAAGGGTGAGGATTTTAGAGATGCACTAAACAGCGCTCAGTATTAGTTCATCTGATGTTAAGTGTATAGAATGTGAAAAGAATGACGAATAGAGAACTGCTCGAAGCAGCATTTAGTATAACTGCAGCAAAGATGCAAAAGAAATTGTCCTTATATATCTCACTGTCATTAGTTCGTGAAGCTTGCTCTAGCATCTGGTGCATATGACCAGCCACAACCCAGGGCCTAGTTTAGTAGTACAAAATGCCATGGCAACAACTTATATTGTCTTGACTAAATTTCTGAAGACTTTACGAATAGTTAACACTATATGCTCCAAGGTTTCCGTATGCAGCCCTAATTTTGATAGGGAAATATATATATATATATTTGTACAAGAGATGTTCGTGAATTAATACAAGGGCCGAATGCACCGAAAAGACATGGGTTGTGTAAAACTGCAATGCAACTGCAACAAACCACAACTAACCTTCTTAATATTCATCTTTCTGTGTATTCAACAAACCATATTCAATACTACCTCAGTACCTCTCTAGTTAAAGCATGTAAATTATGTGTTACCTACCACTTTTATGGTCGCACATATAAACGTAGAAGCCGGAGTGGTACAGATGCAACTAATGAACAAAGTGGCTGAGGAAAGGACCCAAGCAAGCAGTTAAAGTCCTATTAGTATCAGTAATAATATTAATTAACACTACTTTAAATAGTCTTCCTTTATTACAGTTCTATTAGATTAGCAATTTTGTTTCCCGCCTGTAATATATATAAGGGGTTATTAGTTAATTTAATAAACCGCTTTTAGAGAACTAATTCTGGGATTTCTTGACTAGGTCGGAGATCGGATTAATTCCGTTAAGCCTCTTTATTCTTCATTCCTCTCTTCATACTTAATTAAAAATAGATTCAGAATTGTCTCTTTCACTATTATTGATCATACCAAGCATCCCATTCTTGACCTTGGACAAGGTCACTTACCCGTGCCCTTAACTGCTTGGTATCAGATTCTGGGATGATGGAGATAAGTAGATAGAGAAAACAATAAGACAAAATAAGAGTGTCTCTCTCTTCCCAAGGCCCAACCAACAAACCGAATGCTCAACTGCCTCTAATTCCCTTCCCCCCAGGAAAGTCCCCCTTCCCCTATTTTGTTAAAGATTCCTAGTCCCCCTCTCCTTTTGTATACTTTATCAAAATATTCAATATTAGATTTAATTACACTCATGTACCTGTCTATATCACAAGGTCACTTACTCGTGCCCTTAACACTATGAGCCCTGTACCTGTTTGATAACCCTTTTATGGATCATCCGCCATTTTTTTTACTAAACACTAAAAAACTGATTTGCATATTGAGTCGAGTAATAATCAAACTGAATTTGGTGAAGAGTACATCTTTGACATTTTCATACACGTAATAGTTATTCCTTTAGGGAAAAACGGCCATATAGGCTCTTGTACTGTAGTAAATACAGCAATGACTTTCATGCTCAAAAAACACCCAATCAAATCCTCAAAATTGCAAAAGCAACCAAATCAACAATTTAGCCCGTAACTCACTTGTTTTCCGGTTTTCTGCTTACATGGCTGACCAGGTGGTTCTATTAATATCTTATTATGTTTCTCTCCTTCCTCCCTTCCAACAGAAATTGGTCTTATCGGATTTCTTTAGTTACTTTTTCTTTCCAATTGCTTATTTGAAATGAAGATAATATCAACGATGAAGAATCAAGCAGAAGAGAAACTAGGAGGGGGGAAGGGGCAGCATGTCCATCAAAGCCATCATCTACAACTGAAATCTTCTTCCAATTCTTTGTATTTGCAAAATTACATCCTCCACCATCTTTCCAGTAACCATTTCTGCCACCTTCTCCGGTCTGGTGTGTCTTTTTTGTACAAAAAAAATGTGTGAAAATTAGAATGGAAGATTGTGAGGGAAAATGGAGAGGAACGCAAGCAACCAGAGTGGGCACCTAAATGGATGTGGAGTCATTTAATGGGGTGCCGCTAACATTGCCGGTGGGCCCTCGAATGCGGAGTCATTAAATGGGTTTTAATGAAACACTAATTTCCTTAACCAAAGAATCAACAACAACAACATTCAAGCCTTAGTCCCAAATAATTTTGGGGTCGGCTGACATGAGTCGACACATGATAAAATTTTGAATGTGACATGGTTTCGTTGCCCAGCACTCTACTCCATACACTAATTCAAGCTCAACTGGTGTTCGATCAAATTTACCCTTAAGTGGTTCAGTCTAGTCAGCATACCTCAAAGAATGGGCACATTAAAAAACTTTAAATCCTTATTAGTAGATAACATATATATCTTTGAGCTAAACCAACCTGTCTACTCCACCATCCACAAAGACAGAAGGGCGGATTGCCATTGGTGGCACAGGGATACAGGTAACAAGAAACTTTTCTGGCCTGTCAGGGAGATAAAGCAACTCGCAGTCCTACACACGATGGAGAAATAAAAGGAACTAGAATTAGAAAGCAAGAAAGACCAGATACAGAATATGGCGTAATGCTGAACAGAATTTACATCCTTTTTGTGTTGAGTTCGGCTTTGTATTCAACTTCATATATTTGCCTGATTGTACTCTTGACTAGCATTTTGCTACCCAGTCATATGCAGGAGCATTGTTGATAGCTTAAATCATATCTTATTGCATATGAAGGAGAAATTTTAGTTAAACACTTCTACTAAAATATACTGTTTGAAAAGGTGTTATGCATTAAGATGACTATTCAAAAAAAACATTAAGATGACTATTCACTCTTGTGTGAACATCCTGAGGGTGTACGCATTCCTATTTCCCTAACATTTTACCTCTTAAATTTCAATACTTTCTCTCACTTACTATTTTTCCTAAAGCATCTATAGTTTCTTTGTGTAGTTCCTAAAAATTTCAGTTTTAGTAGCTGTTGATTTTTCTCTAAGGCCATTTGGAGTGGTGAGGTATTACGAGTCCAAAAAGGTAGATGTAGAATTTTTGACACCTAATTGTGTGTAGTGGTAGTTTAAAAGGGGCATTAAAAATGGAAAAGGGGATAGAGGGGGTTAAATATAGAGGGTTGGTTAAGAGGAGTGGGAAAAGGAAAAAGAAAGAAAAAGAAGAGAAAAAAGACGGACGCGGGTTGCTTTTTTGTGCGGATGATGTCATGTTGATGTCATCCTTGCATCATAATATCCCAAAAAAAATTAAACTTGTATAACTTTTTTATCCAAATTTGTCAAAATGTACATCAAAATTCTTAAATTTTTATGATCTTTCATATGACACCAATATGTAATATATAAAATGATTTTTTTTTAAGTTTTAACTGTTGAAATTTTCTTGAGCCCCGGAAAAACATGAAACACAAATTTTTAATTCATGGAGCCTTACAAATAATTGAATATTACATAATCGAGACTTTACTTGAACTAAGTTTATATTTTGTTAACCAAAAAACGTTAAAAAAATTAATTAAATTTATTTATTTTTACATTGAAATATGTATTTTTTTTATTTCATAATTATTCAGCGAAAAAATTAAAAGGAAAACATTACTTAAAATAACTTAATTAATGTTTTTCTAAGTTGAAAGGTTAAAATATATGTTGAGTGTATTTTATTGACGGTGCTGGAATGCAGGAAAGTGGGAGTCTAAACACTGTTTTCATATGGACGGAGTCCATTTTTTACAATTTGGCCTCTCAACCACTCCAAATGGTCTAAAGGGTATTAACGAGAAAACTGGGAAGGAGAAAGAAAAAGTAACCAGTATAGTTTTATCATGTAACAAGGATAATAGCACCATACAACACACGAATATTAAAGAACGATTAGGCTAGGTGTAACATGGCAACCCAAAATAAATTTCAAGGAAAAAGATATAGGATTAAAGACTATAAAGATAATCTGACTACAGAATAAACATAAAACGTTCAAAATACAAATAGTACAGATCAAAGCATTACCTCATCCGTCATTCTCGTGAAGAGGGAGTAAACTGTCTTTGAATCAAGTTCTGGGGGTACATTAATTGATCCCTTGACATCCTTCTTGCCAGCAAGAGCATTAAGGCACTCATCTGACAACTGGCTTCCATAATCATGAATGATCTTCATAGCTGCCTTTTTTACCATTCCTAGAATATATGCAATGGATGATCAATCATATTGACTAAAAATCGGCGCATATACATTGTTCCAAAACTAACTTATGCTTCTTTATAAGGTTACCTAGACTTTCTTCCAATCCATTTTAATCATCAAATACGTAGTATCATACACCATGTCACCACTCATAGGAAAAGAAAGGCTATCAAATGGTGCCAACAATCGTTTCAAATTACCCATTTTGCACTATTACGTATTTTATATTCCAAAATAGGCACAAAACATATATTCATACATGAACATGATGTGTATTTGGTAGATCAAAATCATGTTTAGCCAGTTAGTACATTGCTGTCACGGATGAACTAATGCCAATCCCGATTTTGGGAAACGGTTGCAATCAGGACCCTTGATAGTTTAATTTTACAAGTGGTGTTTAGGTTCTTGATTGGGCACACAAGCATATGGCATAAACTCAATGGAGAAATGAGAACAAATATACCAGTATGCACATCTACAAATAAAACCGTATAGTCACAACAATGCAACCATTTGTGGACTTAGGGGTCATATTTACTAACATGCCATGAGTGATAAGGATGTACTAAAACGTCTAGAAGAGAACAACTCTGAGACAAAAAACATGTTTTCCTCAAATCAATGTTCACTTTCATTTGATGGGCATCCAGCATTTAATCCCCAAACAACTTGATGAAGTAAAAGCAAAGAAAAGCCAAATGTAAGACACATAGAACAAAAGCATCGACCAAAAGTAAAGTTTGGTCGCAGTCTAACAGATACATAAAAGCATAAAAAAAAATGAACCATTGATGCATCCACATCTGGAACATAACATGGTCTTGCTACTGTTTGTCATGGCGTTGCACTTCGTCTTAACTTTATTTAGCACCTCATTCTTCTTCAAATGATCCAACTTTGTACTTCTCATCTTTCTTAGAAAGTCTCGGCGATCATCTTCTCGGAGAAGAATACGAGAACAACCCTGAAAAATAAAAGGGAAAAATGTTTAAGAAAATACTGCCGAACTTCAGCACTCATGCATCCAGTATTCACTCAAACAAGAGTAACCCCCAGTTAAGGCGGGCAATGGTTCAGATTTTGTCAAGTACAAACAGTGTAATCAATCTTTTTAGCTCCCCTTCAACTACACGTACACCACAAACATGGTGAAAATCAGCAGTTAACAACTATTCTTAAACAAAATTTTATTTGAGACTCAATTATTATAAAATTGATATGTATAGCAGACTACTTTAATGAACCAAATAAACCGCTTTAGCGCTTTCCATTTAACAAATGATTCACCAGTTGAACCCAATTGATAGGTATTCCGAATCGTGCATATTACTTTTGTGTATTAAACACTGGAATGCTGAGAAAATTTTCATATTCCTTAATCTGCCCGGTTCCTATTAAACAAGTTGAACCCAATTGATAGGTATTCCGAATCGTTCATATTCCTTAATCTGCACGTACAAATTTTATTATTTTTATTATTGGCACTAATCTGCCCGGTTCCTATCATATCTCCCCCCTTAGACATCCACCTTGTCCTCAAGGTGGGTAATAGGAAACAAGCCTGGAATTCAGCTTCATCATGTCACCTCGTCCTTCCCAGTATCTCCTTTTCCCCTTTCAGGATCAAAAGCGGAACTGCCAGGCCACTTAAGTAGGTTCTGTGTTTGGTAGCCGTCATCATGGGATGAATAGGTAGATGGGGTTTCTTCAGTGCTTACTTCGAATGGGCTTCTAGAGGATGAACCCGGAACAGCTTCCAGATTAGATCAGACTCTCCCTGAACGGATAGCAACCACAAACATACCCCACACACTATTTCTACAAGCTGATATATTGGCCATGTGGGTCTGTTCTATACAATGAAACAATCAGTACCTATTGCATCCAAATCATTTCTATGGCGAAAACCATTCCTCATGTTAGTTTCAGACAACTCAGCATTAAGCCAAGCATTTTTATTCACATATTACACAGCATAAACAGAGGGGTGAATTCCATTCCAATCAATGTACAACCATTCAGATCTATGGTCTGATGGGCGCGTAAACCATTTTCCAAACAGCCCATTACAGAAGGATTCCTGAAGCCTCTTTGCTTCCCTGTCCTGTTCTACCCCCAGCTTTATTAGCCCAAGTGAGGAGATAGAAGCCTTAACGGTTATTCTAAGCTGGCAGAGTTCCACTTCTATATTTCCAACATCATCGTCAAGTTCAGCTTCCAGTCCAGCGACCACTGACAATTTCTCCTCTGCTCCCTTGTCACCAACGATGAATGTATCTTCAAGGGGAGGTTGCCGCTGATTAATGGACTCCAAACAGAGTGGTGAAGCTTGCAAAGTGTGATGATCCGCTGGCGATGAAGCTCGCACTGTGAGACGTGGCTTGAGATGCCATCTGCGAACTGGTAGAAGCCTCTCGCAATGATGATTAGTGAGGAACAAGTAGCGACGGTGAACTGGAACTGTAATGAGCGGCTAGCGTCAAACCTGTTGAGCCCTGGCACCGTCTAGAAGTTTACGATCGTCTCCTGGTTCTCCGGCAAATTTGATTCATCGCCAGTTAGCGCAGCTCAGCCATCATTCCGTCCATCGCTCCGCACAGGTTGCACATCTCCTCCACTACCAACCGCACCTCTGTGGTGTAGCGCTCCATGTATGCTTGATATTATCCAACAGCTTCTCCATTTGTGATTGGTTAATTCTCATTCACCAGAACGAACTGTTCTGATACCAATGATAGGTATTCCAAATCTAGCAGATTACTTTTGTATATTAAACACTGGAATGCTGAGGAAATTCTCAGATTCCTTAAGGGATTACAAATCGACGTAAGAATTAGCACAGTAAGTAAGAAAGAGAAAGATTGATTGAGACATTTAGAGTAGTCTTAGACTCTTAGCACTCCCAAGTCCCAACTCCTTATTCCTAACTCCTTATTCCTCCTTTCCCTTCTATTTATACTACCCGTACAAATTTTATTATTTTTACTATTAGCACTAATCTGCCTGGTTCATATCATCAGTTAACTGCATAATGGGAGAACTTTAATATTTGTAGATAAATTGGTGAAATCTAAAAAATCCACCGAGACCTATACTGCTATACACAATCACAAGAAAACTAACACTCAAAAATCATGTACCTTGCAAATACACTTCAAAATGGTATAAATGATCGGCAAAAATCCAATATTGTAAACTGGTAATGCAAGTTTCAAGAATCCATAGTGACCAGGACAATCTGTGAACTTTCCGCCGCACGTCTCACAAGTCTTTTCCTTGTTTGGAGGCCCCTGAAACCCAAAATATTGTGCGAGTTACCTACTAATAATAGTACAATACAATTATGAACAGGTTATTCACAGACAATGATAAGCATTCACATTAGTATAGAAAAACAGTGTTGTCAATGACGGATAGCGGAGTATAGCGGCAAGCCTTGAAAACACTATAGCAATATATCAGGTAGCAGTATGACCACTATTCTTACCATTTTACTACAGAAAATATAAAATCATAAATATAACTATATTTGACAAATTCATATACGGAATGTATAGTTATAAACTCTATTAATATCAAGTTGAGAAAATCATACTTTGTCGCAGGTTAGTAGAGGTTGTAGGAGGTCAAGGCCTCACGGGGAAGAGATGGGAGCCAGAGGTCTCAAAGCAAGGGAGGTCGATCATCAAAGACTTGGGAGGCTGGGCAGTGAGTTCGTCTATCACAGACCTGGAAGGTAGGAGGTAGCTAGGTAGGTAATTGAAAACTTGAGAGGCCTATTGCAAGAGAAAAGTGAAGACTTGGCATTAAAGCAAAGAAGAATTTTGAAGGGGTAGAAGGATTTCAAAGGGCTTGAGAGTTGAGAAGGCTGATTTTACTCTAAAAATCTAGTTATAACCTCTTCCCTACCCCAAAAAACCATAACCGTGCTTATGTGCGCGCATAGAAGGAAATCGGAGTTGTAGTGCCTCAGCACATACTACGGCTGCCATTTGCCCAAGTACTGCTTCCACATTGCCACAATTACATTTAGACAGGTGCTGCTACACCATTACGTTTTATTGATAACACTGGGATAAAGATCAGTCGTGTGACCATATCAAATGGAATAAAGAAATGTTTGATGAAATTGATATACACTCTCCAAACATTTAACCACAATGAATCAAGAGACTCGTCAACCAAACTCAACCTTCATGTGCCTACCTACACATCTTGTTTTTATTTTTTCCACTAAAATTAAAAAATGTCTGATTATAGAGTTGGCTCTAAATACACTGCTGCCCATCTTAGAAAATCCTTAAATGTCACTTTGCATCACCAAAACAGTGAATTGGGAACAAAAAGAGTTTTGCAGATCAATAGAAGATAGAAGAATAAGAATCGAAATGGAGTTGAAAAAGGCGCACCAATGATACAATTAATTGGACTAGCAACGTAGCACGTAAGATTCGTTTACAACTTAGTGAACTTACAATTCGCAAATGCAGAATAACTTAATTCATTAGCTATGAAGCTATAGATTTTGATGAGAAAGGTGTGTGCAGCCCTAAAAATTCATAAACACAAAACATCGCCAGATACAAAAATTACCATGTGGGGATCCAATAGGCCATTGGGATGAGGTTTGTGGAATTGATCATAATAAACTCCGCGATAGACTTCAACCACTGCTGATTTCATGATTTCAGAACTGGAGAAAGTTGAAAACTTGAAACTTTTTCTGTAGGATCAAAAATAAATTGTGATAAATGTGTGGATTAAAGTGAACTTACAGACATTGACTTTCTAACAAAAAATACAATATCATATTGGAAGAACAAAATGCATACATTTTGCGGGGACCCACATCCTCAATGTAAGGTTGTTTGGTGAACTGGATCTCTTCTTTTCTCCTCATCTTTTTCACCAACTAAGTGTAATCTACTCGTAAGGTAACAATTTGTTTATGGGAGAGAATTGAGGAAATAAATACCTCTATTTCTCCAATGATAAAAGCTGCACAGTTAAAGAATCATGATGGTTTAAGAACACTATTAATCAAGGCAACGAGAAATGTTGTCAATGGCGAATAGCCAAAAAGAGTCATTTGGGTATGACAAATTGTGTTGCTGCAAGTAGCGGGACGATACCAGAATAAGTAAAAACATTACATATAAACTATACTTATATTTAAATATCACTGTGATACTGGTTGTAAGCATATATTTATTAATTAATTTTTAATTAATTAATACTACCTCCGTCCCATTTATCATTTATATTGTCCCAGAAGAGGGTGGCACGGTTATTAAGAAAAGTGGGTTTGTGTGGTTGATATTAATTGATAAAGTAAGAATGATTTAGAGCCACACAAACTTTGCCAATATGGTATGGGACAATTTAAGTGGGACTTCCCGAAAAGGTAAAACGGGACAATATAAATAGGACGGAGGGAGTATAAAAGAAAAAGAAATTTCCTATAGCAACCCCACATAAAGATCTCTACAGGAAAAAATACAACATATAATAAAAAGAAAATTCCACAAAAAATATGAATAATAATGTCAGAAGTCAAAACAAAATAGCTTGTCTGTGTGATATCATGCAGCTACTTCTTGAGCCATGTGCTATAAGCTATAATATCATATCACCATCCTACTCTATACAAAAGGAAGAGAAAAGGGGTTCCAGTTTTCCACCCAAATCTAAGACCAAAAGAAAATTCTTTATACAAAAGCAGAAAAGGAACAATAGTTTTAAGGCCATTTGTCAAAGCAAGAACCATTGAGAACGGTGTGCATCATATTTTTGTTGTTTCGTATGACTCCCTATTATATCATTCTTCCTTGCAGTTAGGCTTGTCAATGGGTCGGGTCTAGACCCGAACCCGATCCGAATCCGCCACTTTATTTGAGGGTATGGGTCTAAATTTAGAACCGTTTCCCGGATCCATATCCGAACCCGTTACATGATAAAGAAAATGGGTCGGATATGGATTTTTAAGTTCCGGCCCGTTTTGGACCCGACCCATGATGATATAATTATAGTTATAATTTTCTACATATACACACACAATATACATAAAAATATTTAAACATAAAATAAGGAAAATAATCAAATATAAAAATGTTTTAATATTTGTAGGCTTATTTAGTGGTTGGCCCACTATAATGGGATTTTCTCTAATGAGTTAGTGTTCAAGGCTCTCTATGAGTTCACTAATATACATATAACATACCCCGTATATATTGTATAGTTTATATGGAGTAATGAATAGAACAACATTTTGCTTATTTATATATGATGATCTCTTCCAACATGAACATTTTTTGTTATATACTTCGTATTATATTTTTTTGCATATGTCATTCAGTTTTTTTTTGCGGGTATACCCGAACAGGATCTGAGACCCGCCGGATTTAAACCTGGAACATATGTTTAGGACCCGAAGGGTAAATGGGTCCGGATCTGGACCAAAAAATTTTCAACGGATATTGATATGGAATTTATAGTGTCGGCCCGTGTCCGACCCGTTGAAAGGCCTACTTGCAGTCAGTGGCGTATCCAGAAAAATACGTCAGTGGGGGCGAATTTACCTTAAATTTAAAAGAAAAAAATCACTAGAAAAATTAGACTAGTCAAATTAAGAAAAAAAGTGTAAAATCAATTATAAACAACAAAATATTCTCTAGACAAAAATATAATGAAATCATGTTTAATTAATTTTCACTTTGTTAGAAATAATTTTATCACACGACATTTGTAATTTGTGCACAATTATGTCAATATATAAATGAATCAACTAAGAGAAGGATCAAGCATGTACTTATAATGAATTAAAATTGAAAATTCACAAGTATATTAAAAATATTAGTTTATATTATATACAAAATCATTTCATATGTGAAGCTAGAATAGTAACTATATTGATGTAGCTTAGATCTTCCTAAAAAGGAAAAAGTTAAAAAGAATAATGTGAAACTCCTTAGAATTTGTATAAGGCTTCAAGGGCAAAAGCAACCAAAAATAAAAAAGAAGCAAAGAGGAATCGAACCCCTGACCATATATATATATAAGGAGACATTATTGGTTCTTGCACTTATTTCCACTCGGCCACAGACGCATGTAACTATATATCTGATATAAATTGTATATGATTCTTTTATTTAACACAAAAATACATGTAGAATTTAAATTGGATACATATATATAGGGGTTGGGTGGGGATTCCTTGCAGACTTGCAGTAATAGGGCATAGTATGGGCAGCCGAACTGCTATTATGTCATGGTTAATTACTTGTGTAAACTGTAAACTATATAGCAGCAGAATAAGCCCAAATGCTAAGTAAAAACTGGCATTGTGTCAATGATTCGCTTTATAATTACATATATTAATTTTTTTATTTACTTATAGTCTTATATTATTGTTGTTGTTGTACTTATAGTCTTATATTATTACATAGTTTCATATAATAATGTTTAAAATAAAAGCATTTAAAAAATTTAGAAGTATTCTGAAAATCAATGTGTTATGAACTGGTTAGCTTATTCTCTTCAATCCAATTTTTGTTTATTTTATGTATTGCAAGTTTTAATTAATGGAACAACCAAAGGTGTACATTAAGTACCACGTCTTTTTTAATACACACACTCCTTTATTTTTTTCAACTTAATGTGTATTATTAGTTTTGTTATTTTAAGGTAGTTAATGAAAATAGAAAGATTTGTGTAGATATCTAAATAGCAATATATTAACTTCCATAATAGTTTATCAACCCTTGTTTTTTTTACTCCAGGGGGTCTGGGGGAGGGGCTGGGGGTCTGGAGTAATCAAAGCTGAAACTCACCCCATTGAGTTTCAAACCCTTATGTGTCTAGCGGGATTCGAGCTCGAGACCTCCCACTATGCACGGTAACTTCACAACTAGCTGGGCTAGAATGCTTGGTTTATCAACCCTTGCTTTATTTGTTCAATTATGCGCTCATGTTAACATATAAGCAAAAGTACCATATTGCCATGTTGAAGAGCAAACCAAAGTGGATTGCCTATTGCAAGGCATTCCCATGTAATTTTGGACTGAAAATGAAACAATTTTTCCCTCCTTTTGGATGATTTCTACCGCTCTATTCTAATATTAAAGTTAAAAGTTATACGAGTAACTAAATAAGCTGCATTTTATAAAACTAAATTTAGTTGAAATGAAAAAGATTGGTTGAAAAATGAATAAAAAAGCATCATCTTCTGAAGAGCAGTGACTGTTTGCCGCACTAAATTGCTTTGAATTTTTCTACCATCACTAACTTAGAGAATTGGAAACGGAGAGTTATTCTTTTAACAAAGGTTAGAATTTATTTATCACCTCTTGCCATGGCATGTGATTGTAAAAGAGGGAATGATATTAAAAGGTGTATTTTGAAGAACACAACAAACAATCTGATGGAACATTTGTGATTTTAAATACAAAGTGTGATTCGAGAATAAGAAACATCATTACCAAAGAAATTGGAAGTAATAAAATTATTGGCAAACATCATCATACATGCTGAATGTTTGATGAAGCTATATTGGTGTATATGAAGTGGAAAAGATTGAGTTGTAAAATTTGACTTTCCAAACGTTTGTGTTGATGCTGATATAGACTAAGAATTTTGTCTACTCGGGATGAGAAAAAAATTCCAAAGTGTAGAGATAGTTTATCATTACAGTTCCAGGAGAAAAACCAAGTTCTGATTGTATGGCTCCTATGAGAATGAAGGGAGATTCCTGTTACTATGTGTCACAGATGGAAAAAGACGATACGTACTTTATCAACATCAAGCTGGCTTTTTATTAATGATTCTTACCCGACACCAATAATGGTTGTTTTACTATCTACTTGAAATGTTTTAAATATACCGTTCAAAAATGACTCCCGCGGCTTCTTACAAATGGAAAAATTTATAATCTCAAGGAATAGGGTGGCTGTGATGTGCTATTTGGTTTGACATGTCTGAAGAAGAATAGACGTAGTTCTTGAGATTGAATTAAAACTACAGTTTTTGCAATAATCTTGAGATAGAATTTCACCCAACAAATCATTCCTAACAAACAAATTCATTCAGCAAAAAACTATATTATCACACCTGCAAATAATTATAGCAAAAATCATGCTGCCACAGTCCCACGCTCCCAAACTAATCGAAGGAACCAAACGTTAAGCAAAAGTATAGTGCCAAAGCTGACATTTACTGATTTATTTACAATTAATATTAATACTATAATAGAAAGGTAAAATAACAATTCTATGATAGAAAGGAAAATTAGGCATTAAGCAGCACTGGATCAGTGGAGCAGTGGGAATAGGGACTTGGGAAATCAGAAACGTGTCTAAGAATTTCAGATTAAGTTTACAACAACTTGAGCTCTTCTAAACTTATAATTTCTGGATGAAGAGGCGTGGTAACTACTAACCAGGACGAAGGAGTGGAGGGCTGGAGGCGCAGATCCCTGAGGGATGGACTGATGGAGGTGCGCCGCCGGGCCGGTGCCGCGATGGAGCCCGGAGCAATTTGCGACTGCCGACTGCAACTCTGCAAGAGCAACTGCTTGACTTGCGTCGCTGCGAGTCTGCGATAGCCGACAGAGCCACAGAGCGAATGAGGAAGGAGGGTAGGCTGAAGGCTGGAGGAGGAGGATCGAGACTGATTAGAATGTGGAAGAGAGCAGCGGAGAGCAAGAGACTGACTTTCCGCGCGGAAAAGAATGGAATATTTCTAAAAACAGAAACCGCCCTATTATTTATGACCCCGTATTAATATAAGGAAAATCACCTTTTTACCCACTTTTATAACCACTTTTGTACCCACCCATGTTTGTGAAGCTATTTTTTTTGTCTGTAAATTCCTTCACAGACAAAATATGTTTGTGAAGGAATTCAAAGACATATTTTGTCTGTGAATCGGCTTCACAGACAAAAAAATAGCTTTCACAGAGGTGGATAAAGGTGGTACAAAGTGGTGGGTACAACAAGCATGATTGTTAATATAAGAGAATGTTAGTGATCGCTTGTATTTATCGCTTGTGTTTACAACAACTGCTTAAAAAAACATTTTTTTAGAAAAAGTGATTAAATAAAAGTTGATAGTATTTGAGAAAAAAGTGATTTTGGAAAGTAAAAGTTGATAGTGTTTGGTAAAACTAGTAAACTCACCCGTGCGATGCACGGTTTGAGAATTTTTCTTTCAAATTTATGTGTGCTTAGTCATTCAAGTCACACTAACATTTGATGACAGCATCTATCTTCACGTAATACTGATATACATGAAAACATTAAACGAAACACACTTATAATATTATGATCTCCATCCATGTTGTGAACATAATGACTTAACTGAACATTCCCGAACCACTGAATCCAGAGGCTGATCATCGCGAAAGACAACACTGTGACACTGTGTTCTTCCGGCAAATGGAAGCTCAAAGGTTCAACTACCGGGGTCTTATATTGAATTTCAAACCCAAATATGTGCCAAGAAGCCTCGCACGCAGAAATGTATCTACAGTCATAGTACATTTGCATCTCATCGACTGGTCGTGCATCACACGGTTAACATTTGAAGTTGTTAATAGGAATGCTTAGGAATCAACACATTTTAGCTCTCACTAACTTATGTCAAAATCATTTCTTTTAGTAAAATGTTTTGCTAGTAATTCACCTTGCAATGCGCAAATGATTTTGCCCTTTTTTTAATTCATTTTCAAAGGTTTATATGAATTAATTGAAGGTAAATTATTTATAATGACTAAGTAATAAGATGACTATAAATTTACATGAATTGCATTTTTAGACGAATTGTCTCTCTAAATAGGTAAAATAAGGGAGTAAAATATGTGAAAGTGTGTTATGTCATTCTTGAATTATACTTGAAATTCTACTATTTCTAATATTCAAGTATGGTCTAGTCTGGTTTGTTTAAGTTTGGTTTGGTCTGAGACTGAAATAAGTGTAAGTATAAACACCTCAAAGGTGACTGCATTTATATATACGAATTGCATTTTTTACACGAATTGCCCGGGTAAATTGGCAAATCAGGGGGGGTGCAAATGTGTGAAAGTGTGTTACGGCATTATTAAACAACACTCAAATATGAATTTCTAAGAAAATGTTAGTGTAGCTCGTATATGAAAAGTAATGCTATCATTTAATTAAGCACAGTAACTCTCCAAACATATTCAACAGGTAGAATCTATATATGTGACAAATTTTTGAATTTTGTCACTATATATATGTTACTATATATGCTCCTTCATATTTTTGTCGTTAGATATTTGTGACTATATTTTTTTAAAATTTTTTGTCGTTTAAAAGGTCAAAAATGTATTGATACTATATATCACCACTAAAAAGGAACCATTTTTATGATTTCATATTTTAACTGATCTAATGTTGTATTTCATGATTTTTTGAATATGACTATAAATAATATTCCCCTTTCCTAATTTAAAGTTCATAGTTTCAAACTTGCATTTTTATACATCCCATATTAAGGCGAATATAAAAAGGCACAAACTTAGGTATTTTTGCATATAAGTTTTTGAAATATTTGTTTATGAAAATGTGACCTCTTAAGATTCTTGACTATAGTAGTAACTTTGGTCATATAATTTATGTTCGATTTTAAAATCAGTGACAATGACATTATATGAATAATAATTTTAGTCATTTTTGTAAATTAATTTCATTTCGGTATTTTTTTTATAAATATTTTATATTTTTGTAATATGCAGTAGTTTTGACAAATCTTTAATTCTCTCTTTATTGTATTAATAAAATATATTTTAAATATAAGTTTCTATAATTCAGTAAATTGCAGTCGCTAAATTTATTATTTTATCAATTTTAACAAATTGAACCAATACAATCAATTTCAATATTGCCAAACGAGCTATTCATTTTGATCAAATTGTTCGCCCCATTTTTTTTTGCAAAAGTCCCAATCCCTTCCCACGGCCTTTTTGTTTGTTGCGAAGTCCCTACCCCTTCATTCCTCATTATCTCTCTGCACACATTGAACCACACATTATACGCACAGAATTTTCACAGTGCTCACCTCTACAATAGACCAATGAAAACTGTTTTATTTTCATATTAGCTGACTCGACTCACCTAATCCCATGAGCAAATATTTCATTTTTATTTATTTTAACAAATAAATAAATGATTCATTGAAATTGAAGTTTTTGAGCGGGATCCATATTCACCAAAAATCTTTTGCTTTTATATTAGATAGATAGATAGATAGATAGATAGATAGATAGATAGATAGATAGATAGATAGATAGATAGATAGATAGATAGATAGATAGATAGATAGATAGATAGATAGATAGATAGATAGATAGATAGATAGATAGATAGATAGATAGATAGATAGATAGATAGATAGATAGATAGATAGATAGATAGATAGATAGATAGATAGATAGATAGATAGATAGATAGATAGATAGATAGATAGATAGATAGATAGATAGATAGATAGATAGATAGATAGATAGATAGATAGATAGATAGATAGATAGATAGATAAAGAGAGTATTAAGCATGACATCAAAACAAAGTAAACATCCAACAAACTCACCAGTGCGATGCACAGTTTGAGAAATTTTCTTTCAAATTTATGTGTGCTTAGTAGTTCAAATAACACTATCAATTGATGACATCATCTATCTTTATGTAATATATTGATATAAATCAAAACATTAAACGAAACACACTTATAATATTATGATCAAAATGAGAGTACTAAGCATTACTTAAAAGATCAAAAACATCCAACAAATACGTTGAAACCATAACATTGTAAATATGCATTTAATGTAAACCTAAACATTATTGAACACTTCTTTGAACACAACATTCTGAGTCTGGTTAGTGGTTCCTTCATCTTCATCAACAATTAGAATTTTCAAACCACAACGATTGGTAACCCTTGATACTACAATATGTCTAAGTATAAGCATATCAAGTAATATGGTGATTATGCATTTGTACGAATTGCATTTTTTTAAAAGAATTGCCCAGGTAAATTGGCAAATCAGGGGGTGCAAATATGTGAAAGTATGTTATGACATTATTAAACAATACTCAATTATGAATTTGTGAGAAAATGTTAGTTAAGTCTATATATGAAAAGTAATGCTATAGTAGTTTCGAAACACATTCAATAGGTATAATCTATAGTAGTTCTTAATTCAAAAAAAGTACAACTCCAGTGCGATGCTCGGTTGGTGAAATTTAAAGGACGAAGTTTTACTCAAATTAGAATAAAAACCATACACAATAATCAAATTTGATGTAAAATGAAATGTATTTAATACGATTTACAGAGTATCAATAATGATTGTGGAGTAGCACACAAATGTGTATAGTCTAACAAAATAGTAACACTCAATACAAATATAATTTGAACACAAATTACATCCTATGCTTGACTTTATGAAAAACTTATTTATACAGAAAATTCTTGATTTCACATTTCATTCTCATGTCATCGTTTGTGTGCAGTGTCATTTTTTACGTTCAATAGTTGCTTACTCTTGACAAAACCATGTAAAGATGACCGTGACTAAAAATAGTTTTTTTTCAAAAATGAACCAACGCCCGACAACGAAACATGCATAAAACACGCGTGCGATACACCGTGGGCATGTATTTTCAAAGTTAAATAATTTTCATAAATAAATAAATGTTACTTATTTGGCCATCAATATTTTGTAATAGTTAAGGTGGATACAATATATTCAGAGTCCGTTACGTCACCTGTGTTCTGTATTTATCGGCATTACCAATCATTTTCCCCTAAACACGTAACTTTTGATTTTACACGCTAAATTGTGTAATATTCAAAATAAGTAAGGTTGTAGTTATTTTTTTTACAGAACTTTCTGAAGTTATCACATAGGACAATTTTTAATATTTTTCATATAATTTTTTCTTTATTTTATTAATTCAATGTATTTGAAATACGTAGTATAATTTTTGCATAGTTCAACATATTCTGCCGGTAGAGACAGCCAAAATCAGCCACTTAAGTCCAAAACCTAATAAATTTTAACAGGAGCAGTCAATTCAACTATTTTCAGTGTTACCAAACAGGCTCTTGACGTTTTCAATTCAAAGGCGGTAAACTGTCACTAATAGTTTTTATCAATACAGAGCATATTTTTGTAAAAATGATATGTTTTATACTTTTATAAATCTATTTTTAAAAAAGAATATTTACATGTTATTTTAATATTATAAATTATTTTCTATAAAAATATAATCGATCAAAATTTATAATTCATTCAATAAAAGAATTCAAAACCTTATCCCAAAAATAATACAGAGTATACTCCCTATTAAAAATAGATAGCCGGATTGCCGACCACACTTAAATTATCGATTTTTTAAATAGAGATTGTGTAATTTCATATACAAAGTATTATCTGGATGGTTCATCCGACTGTTGCTTACTGTCCCGATTGTTCTATGCCACAAATAATTTATGTCCCCATCATATCTCGCCCATCTCTCTCAACTCTCCTTTTAGTAGAGCACTCGCACGATGCACGACGGTCGACTATTGCTTACTGTCCCGATTGTTCTATGCCCTAAATAATTCATGTCCCCACCATATCTCGTCCATCTCTCTCAACTCTCCTTTTAGTAGAGCACTCGTACGATGCACGCCGGTTGATGAATTTGTTTTTCAAATTTGTCTGTGTCAAAT